TGAGGTTTGCGCCGTTTTCTCGCGCCGTCATCTTTGATTGGCTGTTTTGAACGAGCCAGTTCTGGTTGGTCGCGGTAGTCACGTGACTGTCGACTACGCGGAAATTGAGCTCTGCAAACTCATGCTAGGTGGCCTTTCCTGTCGCAACGCCTGCAAATGGCTTCTCTGTATTTACACGAATGTCTCTCGTGATCCCCGCCACAGCTGGGGCAGTTCTCATGGCGGCGGCTTTGTTCGCTCAATTTCTTTTCTGTATGGAAGACGTCCTCGTCCGACTCTTCCTCTGTGCTGGTTCGCACCTCTTCTCTGTGGACGGGGGCTGTTTTCAGCCCGTCTTTGCTTGGACTGGGTCGCTGCAGCGCTTCTGAAGCTTTCGTTGATGCCTCATGTGCTCGGGCTTAGTCTAGCATGCCGGCTAGCGTGAGGTCTGGCTTGGCTAGAAGACGCCAACTGGGTATCTCGAACCCCGCAAATCAGTTGTTCAAGCAATGCGTCATCTAAGTCTCTGTAGTCACAATGCGTTGCGGCTTTTCGAAGCGCGGCCACATAAGCACTGACCGGCTCTCCTTCTTTTTGAACTCATTGCCGGAGTTCGTAGCGCTGGACGAATTTAGACGGAACTGGAGCGTAGTGGGCTTTCAGGTTAGCCTGAAGGACGTCCCAGGGAACCGTCTGTACTGGGGTTGGCTCGCAGAGGGATTCAGCCATCTCGAATACCTCTGGCCCACAGTGGCTGAAGAACAGAGCCCTTTTTCTGTTCGCAGAGAGCCCTTGCATTTCGCTCGCTTCCAGGGAGCACTCGAACCTGGTCAGATACGATCCTCACTTCTCTCGGGTCGGGTCGAAGGGTTTTGGTGGAACGTAGGTAGACATGCCGTGTCTCCGTGTTCGCTAGTCACCCTGGCTGAAACTCCAAGCTCTTTTGAAAAACCTCTTGTGTCCTCAATCCCACCTTCATCGCCAATGTTGTAGCGCGGGAATAACGAGAGGCACAAGCAGGCTAGTAACAACAGCTCTTTAATTCAGGGTGAGACTTCAGCAAAAGGACACAGGCAACAGCTCTCTTTATATACTTTTCCGAGGTGACCAAGAACCAATCAGGATTCACTGTACATTTGAATTTCCCACACAAAATAGATACATACATAACATATAGAATTTGCTTTATTTGGTTTGAATGATCTTTGATAATTTTAATTATGTTTATGCAGACAAAATTTGTGCATTTAATGATGTGCAGATTTAGTAATAGAAGATTCAGGAAAAGTTTGAAAAGTACTGTTTCCCTTTGAGATCATATGGTTCTTCTGTGGACAATTCTCTAGGGACAGCTTAGTGGCCAAACTGCCCCCAGAACAATATGGTCAGAGGAATTTCAGATGACCATGAAAATAAACAAAGCACTTCAGAGTTTATATTTTATAGCCATTTGTTTAAAGCCAAACAAATTAATAAAAACAGATTAAACATAAAACTATGCAAACAACATCCAATAGTAATAATCAATGAATCAAAATTCCCCTTACAACATTGCATTAATCCCAGGCCTGGGACCAAATTCAAGGTATAAGGCAGGAGTGTCAAACTTGTGGCGTCATGGCAGTGTCACGTGACATATCAGGACTTTTCCCCCCTTTGCTAAACTGGGAGTGGGCGTGGCCAGGATGTGATGCATCTGGCCTGCGGGCTGTAAGTTTGACAGCCCTGGTTTAAAGGCTTTTCAAAATCTTAAGATAGAGGGCACAGTGCTTATCTTGGGTGGGGGAATGGATTGCTGTTCCACAAATATGTTTCCAGAGGTGGGATTCAGTTCAGAGCGGTTCGTGCGAACTGGTTGTTAATTTTCTGTGCAGTTCAGTGAACTGGCTGATTGCACCATTGGCTGGCCCTGCCCCACCCTGCCTGGCCCCTCCCAGCCACTCCTTATCTCACCTTGGCCGCTCGCCTAGAGTCACTCCCATAGCCTAGCTGCTCTCTGGTTCCTTGCCTAGGCCCAGCCTTATATCTGCAGCGCTGCCTCAGCCCCACCCCGTGCGTCCACACAGGTGGCGAGTGCGCAGGGCCTGATGCCCCTGGGGACTGCTCACTGAGCACTTCCCTTCATCCAGAATGCCAGCCCAGCTCTCATACACTTGGAGCCTTCTGTGCGCACACCCAGGGGCTGGGGCCGAGGCTGAGGCGGATCTAAGGGTGGTACCGGCACCTTCATGCCCCACTTGCTGGCCTTTCCCTGGAACCACCCCATCCCCACGTTGGAAAGCCATGTCCCTACCTGTGCGTGGAGGAAGGAAGAGGTAGGAAGGAGAGGCATGGGACCCAGGGGGCTTCTGCCTGCCAGTGCACCATGGGCAGATCACAAGCTGCAAGGGCTCTCAGGAGGACATGGAAGGCAAACGGCGGTGGTGTGCGGCTTCTGGCATTGCAGGGGGAGGGGGCAGAAGCAGAGCTGCCCTTTTGTCATCAGGTATGGAGGCAATGGAGGGGAGGGTGGACAAAAAGGGAAGCTCCATGGGCTTTTTTTTTAAATGGGCAGAGGCTTCCCATTTTGATCCCCTTCCCGTCTTTGCCTCTGGGCCTGATGGACCTCTGCATGACTCTCAGCTGACCTCTCCAACCCATGCAGTGTGTGTGTGTGTATATATATACAAGTGGGGCAAAAAAGTATTTAGTCAGCCACCAATTGTGCAAGTTTTCCCACTTAAAAAGATGAGAGAGGCCTGTAATCGACATCATAGGTAGACCTCAACTATGAGAGACAAAATGAGAAAACAAATCCAGACAATCACATTGTCTGATTTGGAAAGAATTTATTTGCAAATTATGGTGGAAAATAACTATTTGGTCACCTACAAACAAGCAAGATTTCTGGCTCTCACAGACCTGTAACTTCTTTTTTAAGAGGCTCCTCTGTCCTCCACTCATTACCTGTATTAATGGCATCCGTTTGAACTTGTTATCAGTAGAAAAGACACCTGTCCACAACCTCAAACAGTCACACTCCAAACTCCACTATGGTGAAGACCAAAGAGCTGTCGAAGGACACCAGAAACAAAATTGTAGACCTGCACCAGGCTGGGAAGACTGAATCTGCAATAGGCAAGGAGCTTGGTGTGAAGAAATCAACTGTGGGAGTAATAATTAGAAAATGGAAGACATACAAGACCACTGATAATCTCCCTCGATCTGGGGCTCTACACAAGATCTCACCCCGTGGGGTCAAAATGATCACAAGAACAGTGAGCCAAAATCCCAGAACCACATGGAGGCACAGAGCTGGGATCAACGTAACAAAGGCTACCATCAGTAACACACTACGCCGCCAGGGATTCAGATCCTGCAGTGCTAGACGTGTCCCCCTGCTTAAGCCAGTACATGTCCGGGCCTGTCTGAAGTTTGCTAGAGAGCATTTGGATGAGCCAGAAGAGGATTGGGAGAATGTCATATGGTCAGATGAAACCAAAGTAGAACTGTTTGGTAGAAACACAACTCGTTGTGTTTGGAGGAGAGAGAATGCTGAGTTGCATCCAAAGAACACCATACCTACTGTGAAGTATGGGGGTGGCAACATCATGCTTTGGGGCTGTTTCTCTGCAAAGGGACCAGGATGACTGGATTTCATTCTTTCCGTGTACAGGAAAGAATGAATGGGGCCATGTATCGTGAGATTTTGAGTGCAAACCTCCTTCCATCAGCAAGGGCATTGAAGATGAAACGTGGCTGGGTCTTTCAGCATGACAATGATCCCAAACACACTGCCCGGGCAATGAAGGAGTGGCTTTGTAAGAAGCATTTCAAGGTCCTGGAGTGGCCTAGCCAGTCTCCAGATCTCAACCCCATAGAAAATCTTTGGAGGGAGTTGAAAGTCCATGTTGCCCAGCGACAGCCCCAAAACATCACTGCTCTAAAGGAGATCTGCATGGAGGAATGGGCCAACATACCAGCAACAGTGTGTGCCAACCTTGTGAAGACTTACAGAAAACGTTTGACCTCTGTCATTGCCAGCAAAGGATATATAACAAAGTATTGAGATGAACTTTTGATATTGACCAAATACTTATTTTCCACCATAATTTGCAAATAAATTCTTTCCAAATCAGACAATGTGATTGTCTGGATTTGTTTTCTCATTTTGTCTCTCATAGTTTGAGGTCTACCTGTGATGTCAATTACAGGCCTCTCTCATCTTTTTAAATGGGAGAACTTGCACAATTGGTGGCTGACTAAATACTTTTTTGCCCCACTGTATGTAGATTGTGACTTACAACCAAAATTACTTGTGGTCATAATTCAAGAGCTACCTGTACAAGCAGCAGTACAAATGCTTAAGTATTTCAAGCATTTTTTAAATTCCAATTTTTATATTGGCATTTCCTAGCTCTTCCCTATGGCCACATCTTTTTTTAAAAAATTGATTGTTCCAACTTTTTTTTATTACAGTAAAATGTTTTGGAACCATTGGTAATAAGAAATGGTATAAAATATTTGTAATTGTTATTAAAACAAGGTACTGAATAATTATGGATAAGTCTGGTAGATAGTTGGGAGTAATGTTTCAGCTAAATAGCTGTCTGTCACTATGCAATAACTTATAGTCTAGTAGAAGTTTTTAACCTGCAACATTTTAAGGGTAGTTTTTCCAGTTTTGGCAACCTTTGTAAAATATCTATTCATGGCTCATATTAACATGGACTGGAATTTTAAGAAGTGTTTCCTCAGTTTAAATTTTGGCAGGGAAAGTTCTAGTTTTTTTGCAGCAGCCCGTGCACCACATCTGATGCTGCACCATCGTCACGCTGGCTGCCTTCTCAACTAATAAACCCTCAAGTAAAGAAACTGACACTTTAAAGCTACTTTGAAATTTCCATTTAAGAATTGATGGAGCAAACAATACAATGTGTCTCATCTGTGACAAGCAGCTCTTATTCACCGAATAAGAAGAAAGGATCTAGAGGGCATCCAAGAATAAAAGATGATTGACAGATATAATTCAACAAAAAATATACTGACAGAACTATCCTTATTTATTATAAAGTTACACTATGAGAAACAATTTTGAAAGTATATGGTACATGCCAAAATGTACAGTACTATACATCAAAGTGCATTGTCACAACAGCTTAACAGTACGTTTTCTTCTTTTATTCTTCCAGGACTGTGCAATTGTAATTCCTTTTTTCTTTCAGAATGGAAGTAATGTTGTGGGAACGCAGCAGGACAAAAACAACAGAACATGAAAATAAAAATGCAATAGTATAAGAAGCTAAGCCAAAGCAGCTTCTCTAAAAATGTAAAGGCACTTTCACATGTACATACTTACAGATGTACATTGACACAATTAGGTAACAGTCAACAAGCAGGAAGCTACCAGCACTGCAATCTATCTAACTGACAGTCAAGGACAATACTGACTTGATTAGTACAGAGACATTTAGCCTTCACTATGCCTGTAGTTGTATCCATTTCCCTTTACATATCCACTTACTATACTTGAAGTAGCTATAACATACCATCAAACTACACACATTTTAACTCAAGTGAATGTTCTAACTGGAAACATTCACTAAACTCACTGTTCGTAATATTTTTCTTCACTAAACAATTTCTAATATAAGCAGTGTGGAAGCCAGTACAGTTATATTCAGACATACAGAATTTCCTTATGCACTTTCAAGATACAGGCACCCACCTTTGTTACACCATATGGCCTGTTAATAACAACAATCACTAGGCTAGAATGCACTTAAAAGAAAGCTGACATTTTCAAGTTTGTCCCACAGGTCTCAAATTTGGTCTAGTTAAGCAAACAATTCTCAACCTTACACGGGTCACTGTCATGTTTCACAAGTTTTATATTAGCTGAAGCCTCAATACTGAGTGTGTGGTCTTAGTTAAGTTTCTAGGATAGAGATATGCCATAGTTAATTTTGGTGACCGCATTCAAAAATATGAAAGCTCTTATTGTTTCAGTCTATTGAGGGCAAAAGATATAATTCAGCATATCATAGCTGAATATCCCTAAGTGGATTCTTTGTCTCACATTAATGAATATCATTAATTTCTAATTTTGTTTGCTAAATAGCTATTAACTACATCATCTGGGGCACACATAAATTAGTCCCCAAAAAATAGGCCTGTAAGTTTTACAAAATATAATACTTAACAATAGATCAGAAATAACTACTGAGCAGCTGATTTTCAATATATTAGGAAACAGCAACTTTTGTGAACTTCTTAGCTAAACATAATTTAATTAGTTTTAGCATTTATGATCACTTAACAAAATGAATCAACTTCACTTAGTAGCAGGGAACAATGCCTTTCAAATGTTATGCAATAACAAGTGTTTTCACATATTAGCTAGTCTTCTACATTTTGGAATTTCATATAGTATAAGAGAAAAATGTTCAACTGGAAGAACTGCAAATTTCTATTGTGACAAGAACTATGTGAAAATAAGTATTTGGTTTCAATTTTATATGTGTCAATGGATACAAACTGACTCCTCCCCTACCCCACATTTCCCTAGACTGTGTTTTTTATTTTTATTTTTTACTTTTAATTAATGACAAACAATAGAGTCTCCTTTAGAGTGCAAAGGTAAGCTATAAAACATTCAGAGAAAGGACATGGCTTAAGTGTCGGTTTGTGCAAGAGTTGTCAAGACAGGTCACATATAACAGAAAAGTTCCTAATGATGTAGCATTATGCCAGTTCAGAGCATTCACTCACACATGAAAAAGATACTGACATAATTAGAAAGAAAATAGTTCTGACCCATTTTATTCAGATTGTAGTACAGTAGAAAATAATGTTTTGCCCTGTAAATAAACTCTTGCCTTAACTGAAGGAGCTATTCCAGTTGAAAATGAGATAATTCAATTTAAATAAACAAAAAACACAACACAATTCATCTGTATGCACTGTGTTTCATAATCTTGAAGATGCAGCAGCTTTAAAGTATTAACAAGTTACTCATTTAGTTTGCAGCTGTCCAGGAATGTTTTGCTACAGATTATTGATTAATTAAAACTTGTCCAGACAAGTGGCTCTTAGGAATGTAAACAGTTTTTGAGCTGAATTGATAGCAAAGAGATTCAGTGGCTAATGTCTAGTTTTATTGCACTGCAATTGGCCTGAGTGGAAGCATTAGAAACAACCCACTTTCTTCAATAGAGAGTTCTTCATCAGGGTCAGAACACAATTCTCAGCATTCCTGGCCAGCCTGGTGAAGGTGTCTGCTGGATATCAACCAGAGGAAGACTGCAATTGTCATTCTGACCACAGACTTCCACTGGTTTAGAAAACTGCTGTTTCCTAGAAGCAATTTAATTCCTCATATCCTGTCAGTGAACTACACTAGGACTGTCACATGCATACTGAATAGCTACTACAGAAGGTAATGTCAAGGTGAGTCTCCTTCCTGCATTGACTTTGACAGGCTACTTAGTAATTCTTAAAATACAGCCTCAGACCTTCTGAAAAATGAACTGGAACCAGGCAGCACTAAAAATAAATCCTATTTCTTAACAAATTCATTTCAAATAACCATAATTCTTTGTGAAGTCTTAAACCACACTCAAGTATATATTGTTAAATTAGTGTGATGCTGGCAGTGACTGTGGTGTTCTCATCAGAAAAGGTGCAGTGCAGAGATTTCAAGTAAATGTGTGTATTCCTGTTGCTTTAAAATGGCATACACGACACATGTAATTTTCCTTTTTGTGATACACTGGATCATAAACTAACCAAATAGGCTGGGTTTGTGAAATGTGCTAAACTACACCCCCCCAACCCAATCTAATCCAGCTCAGCATGCTGTAAAAATGCACTCACTGAGTCTTTAACTGTGTTAAGCATATATTGCAAAAGTAGAGACTGAATGTTCCAGTTTAAAAATTGAACCCAACTCCTATTAAATACCCATGTTAAAGTAGGTAGCTCAAGACTTTAACATTTTAAAAAACAAATCTCTCCTTTTCTAAATATAAACTAATAATATATTGGAATTTAGACAACTATCATGGATACATTCTTTTGGTAGTTCACTCCGCACTTGGGTTCTTGGGTTCTACATTGTGCAAGACTTGTCAGCTGGGCCTTGGGAAGGAGAAGAGGGGCCTATGCTTGGGTTTGTTTTTGGAAGAACTATTGGCTTTGGTCTCAGTGCAGGTGGCTTCAGCTGCACCCCCATTCTTGGTGTCACCATGGGCTTGAAGGTACTCATAGTATCACTGGAAGAACTAGTGCTACGGCGAATCTGAGGCTCGGCATTTCTTAACATGATATTGTGAAGAGGACTCAAAGATTCTGTTGAGGTGGTGCTGGTGGGAGAATTCTTCATTTGTTCTAAGGTATCAAGGACAACATCTGGAGCATGTTTTGCAGAACTCTGGCGTTCCAGTTCCCGAAGTTCATTTAGAGCCGTATTCATTGTCTCTTCAATATCCTATTAAGAGGGAGAAGCAAATATGCTGATAATTATTACAGAAATAGAAAATTCAAGCTTTGTAAATACTCTTTACTTTTATATGAAACAACAGACACATATAAATCTTGCATTTGCATAAATGTGTGTGCACCCTGAATTATTCACACAAATCATATCCAAAATACAATAATTTACTTTGTCTCATGTATGCATATACACTAGCATTCAATTCAAGTGATAATGATTCTGAAAGGACAGACAATGAAAGAAAAAGTAGGAAAGGCCACCCCAAGCAGAGAGTTAAAAAGTTTAACTGGGAAAGAGAACAGACAAATGTTCATGGAAGACAAAGCAAAAAGGATATATTTATTTCATTTTATTTAAAACTGGCTTTGTAAATTAAACAGAAAAGAGGTTTAGCACAGTTTAGTCACAGCAAGTGCAATACCAGGGGTTTCCTTACTGGGTGAAATATAATACCGATGATTTGATCAAAGTAAAAGTTTGAAGACCTTTATCTGAGTTTTATCTTTAGTGTTATATTTGGGAGCTTTCTTTATGCTCGCAAAGGATGAGCATAGGGAGAGTATTTCAAATTTAAATTTAAATAAAAGCATTTTCAAGTTAGATACAGGTTATGTAAGAAGGCACAAATATGTATGCACGTGCATAAATTAAAGTCTACACTGGACAAAGGTGGGTTTCAGCAGATTCTGACCAGTTCTGGAGAACCGATAGCGGAAATTTTGAGTAGTTTGTAGTAGTAAAAATTCTGACTGGCCCTGCCCCCTTCTATTCTCTGCCTCCCAAGTCCCAGCTGATAAGGGAGAAAATGGGGATTTTGCAGTAACCTTCCCCTGGACTGGGGAGGGAATGGAGATTTTACAGTATCCTTCCCCTGCCACGCCTACCAAGCCACGTCCACCAAGCCATGCCACGCCCAAGCCACACCCAGAGAACTGGTAGTAAAAAATTTTGAAACCCACCATTGACACTGGACAATAATTGGAGCTACACAATTGCAGAATAATGTTTTGTAAAGCATTATATGTGCAATTAGGATCAGAACTACTTGCCAGAACAACAAAATATTGAGAACACAATATTTAAAAGCTGACTTTTGTAGCAAAAAAAGAGTTTTCTTAATTTAGGCACTAATGATCCATTTTGTATAAATGGCAATTAAAAAGATCTTTGCAAATAGTAATGCAGCTATACAAATATGGAGAGGGAATTCGGACTAAGTTACAATTCAGAGAAGTTGAACAGCTGCTAGAGAGTAATTTTTATTATGTACTATCAAGTTGTTTTTGACTTTTAGCAACCACATAGATAGATTTTGTCCATGATGATCTATCCTAACCTGTCCTTTCAAGTCTCTCAATGGTGCACTCATCACTACTATAACGGAGTCCATCCATCTTGCTGCTGGTTGTCCTCTTCTCTTTTGTTCCATCTCTCCCAACAATAGAACCTTTTCCAAGGTTCTATGCTGAGTCTTTGTATAATTTGTCTGAAATAGGATAATTTAGACTCTGGTCATTTGGGCCTCAAATGAAAACTCTGATTTGCTCAATGATCCATCAGCTTGTTTTCTTGGCTGTCCACAGTATTCTCAGGAGTGTTCTCCAACACCACGGGAGTCAACCTTCTTCCTATCCTCCTTCTTTAAAGTCCAACTTTCATAATATCCCAGGGAATACCATGGCTTGCGATTCTGATCTTTATAGGTACAGACACGTAATGGCATTTGAATATTTTTTGCAAGGCCTTCATTACTCTCGTACCAAATACTTGAATGCAGTGAATTACTTGACTGCTTGTTCCTTTACTGACGATGGTTGATTTTAAAAGGAAGGAGCTATCTACTTAAACCTATTTACAAAATGCTGATGATATAACATAGCCTTCCCTAACCTAGCATTCTCTGGATGTCCTGAGATTTCAACTCTTAAAAAGTTGAAATATTACCTGCTCCACCCCCACCCCCCACCCCCGTCCAATTTGGGGATTTTCACTCCAACATATCTGAAGGGATTTATGATGATGAAAAGATATATATTGCTTGATGCAATTCACTTCCCCCCAATTGTTTGTATGTTAACAATACATACCTGAGCAATTGACTCTGGGTCAAGTGGTTTGTGGTCATTGAAAACAGGATACTGGCCAGATGAGGTTGATCTTCTAATTGCAGGGCTGTCACTTTTTTTCAGAGATTCATGTCTACTAATATTGGTGAGGCTGCTGTGGCCAGGTTTCCGTCTCCTTTCTGGGCTATCTGTTGTGAGGCTGTGGTTCTGAAGGGCAGCTCGAGAAGTAGTGTGGCTTGCCATACTGGGGGAAACTAATTCCATTGAAGAATTAGTAAGGCCATGTGGTGTATGAACTGGACAGTGTCCATCACTGATCCTGCCAGGACGTCTGCCAGAAAGTGGGAGTTCAGATCTCTTGCGCTGCCTGCAAGACAGGGCAGAAAAGGAAGTTCCAGAAGACAAAATAAATAAATAATGTAAATAATTCTTTCAAAACCCTCCCACACCTGGCAACGATGCTGCAGCATGATATTGTGTAGAATTTGAACTCAGAAAGTTGCCTCTTCAAATATTAACTTACACATGACTAGTCATTACTCCTTAATTTCCAAGTTCTGTGTGTAATAAAAATGATATATATTACAGGCATTAGTGACTACTAGATGTGAGGAAAAATAGATTTTAATATTTTGAAGTGCAATATAAATGAAACAGATTTATTTAATGACAAATAATTGATTATATTTACCTTCCTAGATATACTTCAGAATTCAAATCTGTTGGTGAACTCATATCTTTGGAAAAAGATTTGTCTTCAAGTATAGGCCCACTGCTGGTTTCACTATCTGCTTTTTGGCTCAGTGTATCTGAGAATGCATCATCCCTAAACATTAAAAAAAAATCTTATTTTGCAAAATTAGGGTATATAGCTTTAAAATAAGAAAAACATGCTTTATTTCAGCCCCAGTTTTATATCCCCTTATTTCCCTCTATCTTCTCTTCACTAACAACTGTTTTGCATGGGATTCACAAGGAGAAGCAATGGGAGCCAAAGACAAACTTTTATAGTGATATTATCATGCAAATACTGTAACGTGCATACTTGTAACAGAGATTAAGATACATCATGGCAGTATTTGCATGATGAGATCTTTGTGTTCGTGTCATTTTGCTGTGATTGTAGTTTACTGTACTTGTCGCTGTTATAGTTACTGTTTTCAGAGGCATCTGTTACATGCATAATCAAACATCAACCAATACATGGCTATCAAAAGCCTCTGACCAGAGTAGTTTTCAATACAATATTTAGTTTCTAGATACAGTCTTCATTTTAGATGCCTGCCTAAATGACTTGATATATTCAAAGTAATACAATTGTTTATTAATTGTTGAGTAAGTATTTGAAGTATACAGTTGCAAGAAAAAGTATGTGAACCCCTTGGGATTACGTGGAGTTTTGCATGAATTGGTCATAAAATGTGCTCTGAACTTCATCTAAGTCACAACAATAGAAAAACACAGTCTGCTTAAAATAATACTACACAAACATTAGATATTGCCATGGTTTAATTGAACATAACATGTAAACATTCACAGTGCAGGGAGGAAAAGGTATGTGAACCTTTGGACTTAATAACTGGTTGACCCTCCTTTGGCAGCAATAACCTCAACCAAACGTTTCCTGTAGTTGCAGATAAGACCTGCACAACAATCTGGAGTAATTTTGGACCACTCCTCTTCACAAAACTGTTTCAGTGTCGCAATATTCTTGGGATGTCTGGTGTGAATCGCTCTCTTAAGGTCATGCCACAGCATTTCAATCGGGTTGAGGTCAGGACTCTGACTGGGCCACTCCAGAAGGCGTATTCTGTGCTGTTGAAGCCATTTTTTTTGTTGAATTACTTGTATACTTTGGGTCATTGTCCTGTTGCATCATCCATCCTCTGCGAAGCTTCAGTTGACCGTACGTTTTCCTGCAAAATGTCTTGTCATTTTCCCATCAATGACAACAATCCGTCCAGGCCCTGAGGCAGCAAAGCAGCCCCAAACCATGATGCTCCCTCCGCCATGTTTTACAGTGGGGATGAGGTTTTGATGTTGGTTTGCTGTGCCTTTTTTTCTTCACACATAGTGTTGTGTGTTCTTCCCAAACAACTCAATTTTGGTTTCATCTGTCCACAGTATATTCTGTCCACAGAACATCCAGGTGCGCTTTTGCAAACTTCAAACGTGCTGCAATATTTTTTTTGGACAGCAATGGCTTCCTCCGTGGTGTCCTCCCATGTACTCCATTCTTGTTTAATGTTTTCCTTATTGTAGATGTGTCAACAAAAATGTTAGCATGTGCCAGAGATTTCTGTAGGTCTTTAGCTGACACTCTAGGATTCTTCTTTACCTCATGAAGCATTCTGCGCTGTGCTCTTGCAGTCATTTTTACAGGACGACCAGGGCCGGATTTAGATGAAAAGAGGCCCTAGGCTATTCCACTTATGAGGCCCTTTCACCAGTGGTGGGATTCAATTTTTTAACAACAGGTTCTGTGGGCGTGGCTTAGTTGGGGTGTGTGGCTTGGCAATCATGTGACTGGGTGGGCGTGGCTAGCTGGTCACGTGACTGTGTAGGCGTGGGTAGCTCATGTGACCGGGTGGGTGTGGCTATGTGCATAGACTTTTTTCAGAGGGCTGAAAAAAGTCATTTCTGACTGGGCCTCGCACTTTTGACCGGTCCTCACACTTATGACCATCCTCACATTTATGCCCGTGCAGCTTTCTTAACAACCATGTCACTCATTTCACAACTCATCTCTAATCTTAATCAAATTCAATTTTCCCTTCTATTCTATATTATACCCCTTCCCATTGTCATCTATTTTTATATCCATCCTCACATTGGTTAATTATGTAATATTAGTTGTTTAATATAAATTCAACATTTTAATATAAATCAATTAGTTATATAACTACCTTTTTTGTATATTAATCAATATGAACATGAATATTCCAATTATTTCCATGCAATCCAATTTCTTACAAATCCATTAATTATATTTACCAATAATAATAAACCAAATAATTTCCCCCATATATTCCTCCAAACCACAACTTAACCATTTCTGCTTTCAGAAATATACAATTAATAGTATCTCAATTATTACAATTCCCTAGTTAAATAGAGCTTTTTTTCTTTGTGTTTTAAAATCTCCTCTTTTTCCCTAAATTTCTAGTTGTTTGCACCTACCTTTTTTGGTGAGGAAAAAGAAAAGAAATCTGCCTGCCTAATTTTCCAATGTGCAAAGCCAACAGCCTGCTTTACTTTCTCTTTCGTTTTTGAGTATAGCTAGGGGGAAAAAAATCTGCACTTTCCAAGCAAGCAAAAGAGCACTGAGCAAAACAGCTGAGAGCAAATCAGCTGGGGGTCGGGAGCCGATCGAAGCAAGGGCTAATTAGCCTATGCTGAAGCTCCGGGGGCCAATAAAATTACAAAAAAAACACCGAACCATTTGTTAAATTGCTGGCTCCCCCGCCCCTCGCCCACCACTATTTATTGGCAATAAATAGTGGTGCGGAGGGGGGGGCAAGCCAGCAATTTAACAAAGGGTTCGGCAAGAATTTGCAGTTTTTTTTTCCTCTAGCCATCGGAGGCAGCAATAGATGGGGAGTGGGCGGGGTAAGCGAACGGCCGGCGATCCAACAGAGCAGAGAGGGAGGGTGAGTGAAGGCGTGGAAGCTGCTTTCTCCATCCTGCTCTCTTGCCTCCGGAGCCGGTGGGGAACCACGTGGCAGCCCACGTGGATCCCAGGCAGCGGAACTCAGGCTAGGGAAGGGGTGGGCAATTGTGGCTCTTTTACAACCTGTGGCCTTCAACTCCCAGAATTCCTCAGACAGCCAAGCTGTCTCAGGAATTCTGGAAGTTGAAGTCCACAGGTTGTAAAAGAGCCACAATTGCCCACCCCTGGCTACGGTAGGCTGGCGCCGCGCGGGTGGGAGGCGAGGGCGGGCGAGCCAGCAATTTAACAAAGGGTTCGGCCGAGCCCCCTAGAACCCCCAGAATCCCACCACTGTGTAGGCCCCTCTTCATCTTGAGGCCCTAGGCTGAAGCCTAGTTAGCCTATAGGAAAATCCGGCCCTGAGGACGACCACGCCTAGGGAGAGTAGCAACAGTGCTAAACTTTCTCCATTTGTAGACAGTCTGTCTTACCGTGGACACATGAACATCAAGGCTTTTGGAGATACTTTTGTAACCCTTTCCAGCGTCATGCAAGTCAACAATTCTTGATCGTAGGTCTTCTGAGAGCTCTTTTCTGCGAGGCATGGTTCACATCAGACAGTGCTTCTTGAAACCAGTAAACCCAAAACAGGTGTGTGTTTTTAAAGGGCAGGACAGCTGTCAGCAACACATCCAATATCATCACACTGATTGGAGTCAAGGTTGGCTCACTCCTGGCTCCAATTAGCTCTTGGATAAGTCATTAGGCTAGGGGCTCACATACTTTTTCCTCCCTGCACTGTGAATGTTTACATGTTATATTCAATTAAACCATGGCAACATCTAATGTTTGTGTAGTATTATTTTAAGCAGACTGTGTTTTTCTATTGTTGTGACTTAGATGAAGTTCAGAGCACATTTTATGACCAATTCATGCAAAACTCCACGTAATCCCAAGGGGTTCACATACTTTTTCTTGTAACTATAACTTCAAATTAGCCTTATAAGGAGGCTGATGTTAAAAGACAGAAAACTAACTAAAATTAAAATCATGGAACAGAAAATATGTTATCTTATATTTATGACAGAATGGCTGGGATAGAGTAATCCTTAGTTGCACTTGCAACAGTTGAGCTGTAAAGATTTCTGGTATCCTGTAATTTGGAATTTAGAATCTGTAGATCTCCCACCAGACGAAAATGCTGGTCGGAAAAGAGTACCTCTGGTATTACAATAAATTTAGTGTTTCTTACATATCTTGAACCACTATATATTGGTGGGGTACAAGGCCATCAATTCCATTATGTCTTCCTTCCCACCAATCATCAGAAGCTCGATGATATAAAAGCAGTGAGGACCCTTTCTTGAAAGAGAGTTCTCGTGCAGATCTTCCAATATAGTCAAACTTGGCTATAGCTTCTATTGGATCACATTCTGTGAAAGATAAATCACAAGACTTTACAAATAGCTTATAACAGCAAGGGATATGAGTACATAATAAAAATTAGCAAAGCTGAATGAGGAAAAATATTATTATTCAAATAGTACATTTTGGGACCCAATAATCTCTGAGGAATAAAGCTATCTGGCTAGGACTAAAGGACTTCTTTTCATGAAATTACCTTATGCAAAACTATGGTAAGACCATCTTGAAATATTGTACATAGTTCTGGTCACTGTACCTTAAGAATTCACTACAGTTGGAAAACAGCAAAAAAGCACAATAAAAAAGACTAGAGAACGGGAATATCTGCCCTATCAGAAGAGATCAACCAACTGTGGCTCTTCAGAATGGACTGAAGGAAAAAGAAAACAACATTGAGATGTACCACATGCATAATATGGAGAGAAAGTTGTCTTTCTTCTGCTTTTACAGTGTTATAACTTGAGGTTAACAACTGAAAACAAATGAGGACAGATTCAGAACTGACAGAAGGAAATACTCTTTTACATTAAACTAACAGTAAACTAACAAAATTCACTGCCAGCAATCATGATAATAGCACTTTGGTTTGCTTTAAAAAGGGTCTGGGCAGATTTATGGAGGATCAAGCAAACAGGACTTCAAATACTATGTATGTGAGGCTGTTGGTCTGAGCTCCGAGCTTGGCAACCAAATTGCCAAGCTCAGAGCTCAGACCAACAGCCCAACTACCAACCGAGCTACTTATATTCAAATACATTTCAACTATGTATGTGAATTACTTCTTGAATCCTAATCAGGATGCCTTCAGTACTAGTTGCAGGGAAACATAAGTTTAAATGTATCTTCACTTTCCAGTTCAGGCTTGTGAGTTTTTCCAATCTGGCTGGCTGCAGAAAAATTGCCTACATTCTGTAGATCTATGGCGTGATCCACTAAGCTCTTATGAAAAATCTTTCTCCTATGAAATTTTGATAAGCCTACACAACATTATTCTTCTGTAGAAAGTTTCTTTTCTTGCTGATTCTAGGCTGATCTTCATAATAAGGAAGATGGTGCCCAGAGATTTGGCAGCTTCTTCTTTTCCATGAACCTAGTAATGCATAACTGAAAATGTGTAATGCTCAGTACTGGGATTCAAATAATTTAACAATCGGTTCTCTGCTCTAATGACTGGCTGGGTAGGTGTGCCTGGGTGGTCATGTGACTGGGTGGGCGTGGCCAGGGTGGGCATGACACGGGACTTGTGTGGTGCTAAGGCAGGACTTCCCTGAGACCCTCACTCACTCTCATTATACAGGTAATCCTCCAGTTACAAATGTAGTGGTGGGTTGCTACCGGTTCTCCCCGGTTCTTGTGAACCGGTAGTGGAAATTTTAAGCAGTTCGGAGAATCAGTAAATACCACCTCTGCCTGGCCCCGCCCCCAATCTATTCACTGCCTCCCTGTCTCCCAGCTGATCAGCTAGAAGGAAAAAATCAGGGCTCACTTGACAAAGATGAGGGGAAAAAACCAAGACACCGTTGCTTTAAATTGACAAGCCAAGAAGCCTCCCAACTGATTGGCTAGAAGGAAAAAATCAGGGCTCACTTTTCAGCCAGGAGATCACTTGGCAAAGAAGAAGAAGAAAAAAAAAAGATGCTCTCACTTTAAATTGACAAGCCAAGAAGCAGTTGCTGGAAGGAGGTTTTTACTTGCAGAAGTGAAGTGACATTCAGCAGTTCGTTTCTGGGTCAGCTGAACAACAAACCGGATAAGAGGAGGGATTCTTATATGGTTCTATGTTTTTGAAGTTTTGGGGTTTGTGCAACATGGGCTTTGTGTTTCTAAAAAGGTTTGGGCGATTTCCATTGTGAAATATCCTGTCTTGAATGAGTTTTCTGCCTGCTTGTAAATGGAGCTGAACTTCCGGCTTCCACCTTCTATTATCTCTAAGCACCAGTAGCTGTTTTCTTCTTACAAAGTTTCCTTTATGCAGCTGGCAGGAATGTGGAATTAGTATCAGGCAGGTTCCTTGTTAGCAGCTTGATTTTTCCTTGCTCTTCTGGGAGCTTTTTCTTATGAGTAATATTTTATTTGGGGAAATGAAGAGGGGGGAGTTTGATTCCTTGCCAGAGCAGGTTAGTGGGGTGGGGAGGGAATGGGGATTTTGCAGCATCCTTCCTCTGTCACGCCCACCAAGCACACCCACAGAATCGGTAGTAAAAAAATTTGAAACCCACCACTGTTTCAGTGCTCCATGAAAGTACATCTGTAGTATGTAGATAATAAAGTTGAAAAAAGGTGAACAACATTTTTACAGAACTATAGATACATTGAGGCTGGGTGTGACAAGGAATGGCTAGGAGGGGAGGGGCCAGGCGAGGCATCCCTTGATGTGAGTGACATTGAGTTGGCCACGCCCACCCATTCACATGACCATCAAGCCACGCCCACAGTCACATGACCATCAAGCCATGCCCACAAAATAAGCCACGCCCACAGAACCGGTAGTAAAAAATTTTAGAACCCACCCCTGTATAAATGTAATAGAACCTGCCAATTACATTTGTAACCTGGGGATTCGTTTGATTGAATCACGTTAAATGAATGTGATCATTCTCTGCTTTCTCCAATGCACTTGTTAATTGAATGTGCAGGTCTTTAAATGCACATGAGGTATTTCAGTCTGGGGAACAACATGTGGGGACTAGTGCTGGAGCAGACCATCCAAGATCTCCCCCAATCATGCTCCCCTGGGGTCCCCACAATTGCTTCCCCCACCCCATTCTGCCCTGCTGAATCTCCATAGACTGGGCCTGCTTTGCTAGCCTCTCAGATTCCACTTACTCCTCCCCACCCCATTTCCCATAGATTACTTTCTTTTTTTCTTTTTCTTTTTCTTTTTTGCTATTAAGGTATAATTTTATTGATATCTATTCTGTTAATATAACTAAATAAGCCATTATACACTTAAAGCATTGTGAAATGCAATCTGATCAGAAACAAGAAATTTGACAAGCCTAATGTACAATGCTTGATAGAAACATTATAAAAAGACTTTTCCAGGAAATGTTTAAACACTCAGAATTTTTAAATCTGGCAATCTTATGTCAAAAATGGCTAAAATGATATGAATACCTTCGAAACATTGAATTCTGTGACATGGATTTCAAGAACTACAAGAAGACAAAACTACATTAGTTGTTCAGTGAAGTCTCATTCTAACATTAGCAAAAGGTTTCTCACAGACTCTCAAGCAAATATAAAAACTTGTTGGATTTGTATTTATTCCCCCCCCCCTATATTGGAAGCTGTTCTTCTGCTAATGGAAGCAGCTATCTGTTAACATAGGTACTTCCTAAAATTTTAGCAAGTACCAGTATATATTTTGGAAACAGTAATAGCTGTATTTTAAAATCATTGTGCTAGCTTTTTACTGTGGTAATAAGACCATTTTAGAGACCATTCATTATATAGCTGTAGGGATTTTGCTCCCTTAGGAATTCTGTTGCCTTTTTTTCCTGCTTCCTTTACGTTGTTCTAAATAGGCAAATTATGAAGAAAAATCAGTTAAGGAGTAGAGCTTTAGAGGATGGTGAGAGAGGAACTACTCTGAAGAAACATATTGATTCTCCATGAATATTCACTTCACTTTTATCAAAACAAAAATGTACAATTTGCTACAAAAATCAAAGGATGGACATAAATGATTTAGTTGCAAATCAGGGACATTTTTAACATATACAGTAGTTCTTTTATATTTTTAAACATAAACCTTAATAGGTTACGTTTACTTCCCACTGAAAATAATGGAAATGTTAATCATGCCATTTACTTTATTACTTACTTTTTGAAGATCTTACTTTTTTGAAGATCTCCAGAGGTCCAGAAGAGGCTTACCCACTGGCAGAGAAGCCAAAGTGTTTTATTTAGATGATGGTGAAGCTGTAAGAACGTGAAATCTAAGGAAAACATTTTCACCAGCTTCTGAGTAAAAGACTTTGGCTGGGGTCATGTGGCCAGCAGGCCTAAGCCTGGACTGGGCCACAGCAGCCTCCTGCTTCAGGGATTGAGGCAGCAGCACCAATCAAAGAGGAGGTTGCTTCCTTTGTCTCATTAGGCTGGACTGCAAGGCCCTTGTTGATTGGCTGCCATGCCCCAATCCCTGAAGCTGCTTATTTGAACTAGCCAGTCATCCGAATGCAGACTGGGTCCAAACTAAGCCTGATCAGACTGGATAAAAACTAAGCCTGCAGTCCCTCATGGCAGAGAAGCTGAAATCTTTTATTCAGATAGGGAAAGCTGTTTTCCTTACATCTTACATTCTTACAGCTTCACCAGCTTCTGAATAAAAGACTTTGGCTTCTCTGCCATGTGGCTCATCCTCTTCTGTAGCTCTTCGAAAAGTAAGTACAGTAAAGCCATGGGAAATGGGGTGGGGAAGGCGGATCAGGCCCTGGGACCCTCCATTTGCCCAGGTTTGCCTGGTGCGCCAGTTGCGCCCCTATTTGGACCGAGATGCCCTACGCATGATCACCCATGTGCTCGTCACCTCTCGTATTGACTACTGCAATGCTCTCTACATGGGGCTGCCCCTGAAGACCACTCGGAGGCTTCAGCTGGTGCAGAATGCGGCCGCGCGGGTAGTGATGGGGGTGTCCCAACACTCCCATGTTACACCTCTCCTGCGCGACTTGCATTGGCTGCCAGTTGCCTTCCGGATGAGATTCAAGGTGCTGGTGATTATCTATAAAGCCCTACATGGCCTAGGCCCGGGATATTTGGCGGACCATCTGCAGCCAGCAACAGCTTCCCATCGCCCGGTGCGCTCCCACAGGGAGCGCCTACTCAGTCGGCCAGATAGTGTCAACTGGCGACCCCCAGGGAGAGCGCTTTCTCTGTGGGCGCACCTGCCCTTTGGAATCAACTCCCTCTGGAACTCCGGGTGGCCCCTGACCTTCGCTCTTTCCGCCGTGGGCTGAAAACTTGGCTATTTCACCTGGCCGCCTTGGACTGATGGGGGTTTTAATCTGGGTTTTATTGAATTTCTTAATTTTAACTTAGACTTCTGTTTTAATGGTTTGTCTGTTCTGTTTTAATTGTTATGAGCTGCCCTGAGTCCTGTGGAGATAGGGCGGCATACAAGCCCCAACAAACAAACAAATAAATAAATAAATTTCAGCCTATAAAAGTCCAAGGGAGTCCTAGGAAGGCCCGAATGGGGCCTGGGAGGGCGGTTTGGGCCCAGGGACCCTCCATTTCAGCATGTAAGAGGCCAGGGGAGCCCTAGGAAGGCCTGGACAGGGCCTGGGAGGGCAGATCGGGCCCAGGGACCCTCCATTTTGGCCTGTAACAGACTGGGGGAGCCCTAGGAAGGCCGATAAAGGCATTTGCACCGACAAAGAGGTGAAGGAAGGCTCACCAGACAGGCAGGTAGCTGGGCCGCATGGGAGGCCAAGGTGAAGGCAGGCAAGTGGGCTGGGCTGTAGGGGCCACATGGTCAAGGCAAGCGAGCTAGCGAGTGAGGGAGCCAGAGGGCAGCTGCTAAGCCATGGCCAAGGCGGGCGAGGCGAGATAAGGAGTGAAAGGGGCGGGGTTGCCGGGGACAGCCAGTGGTGCAATTAGCCAGTTCTTCAAACTGTGCAAAAATTTAACAACCGGTTCGCCCTTTATGCCCTTTATACTGGCAGTAGAAATTGTTTTTGCTGCAGTACTTATTTTCAACCTGACTATGTTAGTCAGGAAAAAAAGCAAAGAAACAGGTAAGAGTATTGTGCAAAAAAATGTCATGTAATATTATAGACAATGAAAAAACATTTCCTCTGTGAATGGCATACACACGGAATTAAAAAGAGACACAATGTCATGGGAAAGAGCAAAAAACAGCATACCATCGTCACTGGTGTGTACTTCTGCCCCAGCATCCAGATCCACTTCTTCTAAGGTACCATGTTCACTATAAGGGCTGTCACTGTAGAGAAGGAGCACATGGATTTATTTGATGGTAGGATGGAACTATCATTTAAAATTCCAATAAACTGGTCATATTAATGTATTATTTTTTCAAATATAATAAGGTTTCAGCAATACTTGATTAAGTAGTTTTCTAACTTTCTACACACACTCACATGCACACACACACACACCATGCTAGGTACAGAATACTTAATTCAAACAGAATCACTTTTTTTCATGGGAAAGAAAGAAGCCCTCTGTAATGTCACATAAAGAGGTAATCCCAGCAACTCCCTCTGAAGGAAGGGAAGGAAATATTTGAAGCTTTTTAAGTAAGGCAGAGTTGCATAAGCTGAGATTCAAGATGGAAAAGAAATCTAAATGGCTTCACGTAGACCTCTGACAAAATATAAATATATTAGGAATTTGGAGAACATCAAGGTACTTGAGATAGAGTGCTTCAAGGGAATTCTAGTTCTTAACTAATGGGCAAAAAGTTAACCAGGAATCTAGGCTAAAATTAATTTACTATGTAATGGTACATCTTCTATATGTCTTCATATAAATTATAGAATCGAATCAGTCACCAAATTGTCAAGTTGGTCATGGTGATAATATTAGTGTCCTGGATGGAGTATTTCCAAATATCTGTATGTAACATCTAGTTTGATCTAAATAGTCATAGCCTGCATCTTGATTTCAAACACATTGATGGGAAACCACTATACAAAAGAATCAATTTGACATCAAGATATCAAAGAAAGAGACTGACTGCATCTTAAAGTTAGTTAGGCCAAGCCTACTAAGTCAGTCCCATCTAAAATTTCCCCGGATCTACAATACAGACCTGGGCCAATGTGATTTAAAATCCAATTTTTCCTCTTCTTGGCTATTATTTGACCCTCAAAAAATTACCGCCATTTTATGGATGATCTTCAACAAAATGTGGGTCTCTAGTCTAAGAAAGGATCATGTTCTAGACTAATCTCATGCACCTTTTATCCAATATAAAAGGCTTCACACCAGGTTGGGTGATTAAACTTTCTCTCCCATGCCGACAAAAAAAGGTTAGAAAAACAGATTTACTGCAGAGTTAGGAAACCATACAGACGTATAAGTTGTCTTATACCACTCCAGAATTCTGCTGTTTATATGTGTTAGTTCCAGGATTTAAATCCTAGGCCTCTTAGTGCTGCTGCATTTTTGAACCACTGGCTGCGTAGCTCCTGCATGTTTTCCAGCCTTGAATGTTTCTGCCATCTGTCATTGTTTACAAAATGCTTTTTTCTCTGGCATAAGTGATTCCTCCTCCACCAGCTTCAGGCCTTATATCATATTAAAAAGAACTGGTTGCACTATTGACAAATTCCTACATATAATTTACCTAGACTGGCAGGCAAATCACAGGTTTTTTTGTGGTAGATGGGAACAAGATTCTTCAAAGCTGCTCACAGAATAATATGACAAGTTTGTTTGGTAAAAGACTGAAGGACTTACCAGTAGTCATCACCTGCCATACATTTTTCATATACTGGGCCATCTAATTCCTTGCTATCTGGGAAAATAATCTCCTGGTGAATGATAATGGTTTTGATGATTTCATTGACATGAGCCTGGCATGACACTTGTTCTTGTATATCTGGAATTGGCATCAATGTTGGGCCAAAACAAATGGCCAGATTATAAGGATCCATCATATTTTCATCACTGTACTGAGAAAGGCTGTTTAAATAAAAAAGAAAGAAAAGTATTTTGCAAGCATGTTATTGGATGGTTTTATAGTTATCTTTTCCCTAAAAAATTCCAGTTCGATTTCAATTGAATTGTACAGTTTATATATTATATTAAAGTGATTTATCTTGGTGTGATTTTTTGACATCTCAAAAATCTGGAATATCTATAGGGATGTGTAGACTTTCTATATGTACTGCATATATGAATATATGGTAATTTATAATAACATTATATTTAAACAATATATAAAGCAGATCAATAATTTTCAGGTAATTTGAAATGAGCATTCTGTGTCCCCCAAAAAGACTTGAACTGTAGGTAATCTCAACAATATTTCTATATCTGAAGGATATGGACAAGAAAGAGCTGTTTTCTAACCTGAAGGAAAGATAATTTGTTCTTGATCTTAATGGACAATCCTTTCAGTTAAAAACAACAACAGTTCAGTCTAGTGGACCTCTTACATTTTTCCTTATCCAAAACGACTCATTTCATTACATATGCTATTTTTTAATAAATCATTACCATTTTTACCCAGTCTATGTAAGGGATTTTAATCTGTCTGCATTCAGAGAATTTCCTTTTGCCTTTGAACCATTCTCAATTTTTTCTGAATTCTTTGTCCCAGCATCTTTCAAAGCCGCAATGTGTTATTTTCTTTATTACCACATTAAAAGCCAATAGAATCTTATTTTTTACACTACTTTAAAAGAAAACTCCATCTGCCTGTCTAGTAAACCATTTCCTTTGCTTTCCTTCTGGCTACCTCCCTTTTTTGCCTAAGTATCTAAAGTGCACTCCATTTGCTACACAGGAAGATTTCTCTACATCTCGGTTGTTCTGTTTTGTCTCATTCATATGTTTATCTTGTTTATTTATTTATTAACCACATTTATATGGCTGCCTATCTCATCAAAAGTGATTCTACAGTTTCAATTAAATATATAGTTCAGAACCACTAAACTATATCTTTAAAAAATCCTGCCGCACCGGGGAACTACCAGAGGACTGGAAAAGAGTTGATGTAGTTCCCATCTTCAAAAAATGAAAAAAATAGATCCAGGAAACTATAGATCTATTATCAGCCTTACATCAATACCTGGGAAGATTCTGGAAAAGATAATCAAGCAACGAACCTACAAACATCTAAAGGCAAACAAAATCATAACCAAAAGTGAACATGGGTTTGTCAAAAACAGATCATGCCAGACAAATCTTATTGCATTCTTTGACAAAATGACAAAATTAGTGGGCCAGAGGAAAGCTGTGGATACAATTTACTTGGACTTTAGTAAGGTATTTAATAAAGTAGACCACAACCTACTACTTGATAAGATAGGAAAATGTGAGCTAGACAGCATCACCATCAGATGGATTCGTAACTGGCTGACCAACTGCACTCAATGGAACTGCATCTACATGGAGGGAGGTATGCAGTGAGGTACCCCAAGGCTCTTTTAGGTCCAGTATTCTTCAATGATTTGGACGAGGGGATAGATGGAGAACTCATCAAATTCACAGATGACACCAAGCTGGCAGGAATAACCAACACTCCAGAAGATAGGTTTAAGATACAGAAGGAACTTGACAGATATGAACATTGGGCTGCTATCTAACAAAATAAAATTCAATGGAAAAAAAAGTAAGTTTCTACATTTAGGCAAGAAAAACCAAATGCACAGGTGCAGTGTATGTGGTACCTGGCTCAAGAGTACTAACTGTAAGAGCGGTCTTGGAATCCTAGTGGACAATCACTTAAATATGAACCAGCAGTGTGCAGCAGCTGCCAAAAAAGCCAGCACAATTCTAGGCTGCATAAACAGAGGGATAGAATCAAGATCACGTGAAGTGTTAATACCACTTTATAATGCCTTGGTAAGACCACACTTGGAATACTGCATCCAGTTTTGATCATCACGATGCAAAAAAGATGTCAAAACTCTAGAACGAGTGCAGAGAAGAGGACAAAGATGATTAGCAGACGAGAGGCTAACACATATAAAGAACAGTTGCTAGAATTGGGTATGTCTAGTTTAATGAAAAGAAGGACTAGGCATGACTTGATAGCAGTGTTCCAATATCTCAGGGGTTGCCACAAAGAAGAGGGAGTCAAGCTTTTTTCCAAAGCATCTGAAGGCAAGACAAGAAGCAATGGATGGAAACTAATCAAGGAGAGAAGCAGCTAGAACTTAGGAGGAATTTCCTGACAGTTAGAACAATTTATCAGTGGAACAAATTGGCTCTAGAAGTTGTGAATGCTTCCAACATTGGAAGTTTTTAAGAAGAGATTGGACAACCATTTGTCTGAAATGGTACAGGATTTCCTGCCTAAGCAAGGGGTTGGACTAGAAGACCTCCAAGGTCCCTTCCAACTCTCTTATTCTATTCTATTTATCAGCTATTTCCCATTTTTATTTTACTTCACTTGGAATTCAACTCTTTCCAAAAACAATATTCATTTAGCAATCCTTTTTCTAATACTGCTTTTCTAATACCATAGGCCAGTGGTGGGATTCAAATAATTTAACAACCGGTTCTCTGCCCTAATTTCTTCCAACAACCAGTTTTCTAAACTGCTCAGAAAGTTAACAACCGGTTCTCCTGAAGTGGTACGAACTGGCTGAATCCCACCACTGCCATAGGCTCACTATGGTTCTGATGGTCAATTCCTTCTTTTTTTCCCTTTCTCTGTTCACTTTTTCTTTAAAATGCCTGAAAAAAGATGTGGCTGCTTTAATGAACAGCAGAGATATGACTTTTTCATGTAAAATTTGAAGCACTTTTCCAAAATCATTTTCAAAATGTCATAGTCTTCCTATATACTGTATGCTCATACATGAAAATTAAAATGAAGCTTTAAAATGAATCTCTCTACATACTCAAATATGTTGATTGATGCCTGTACTAGACAGAATTCCAGTGTGTTCTATAATTAGGCTTAAATTGACAGATACAAGCTGCTGAAGGCAATAGCTGAAATGTACTTTTGTGATCTCATTCTGTATTAGCATTGTGGATGCATACCTTTTGCTAAACTGCTATTTTGAAACTTAAATCTGTGATGTTTACAAAGACTGTTATTATTTTATAAGTTATTGGTAACCCAAGCATAGGAATACTGCATATGCCTTCTGTGAGTTAGAAAATCTTGGTCTTAAAACGTTCACACCTATTCCCCAGAATTTAATATTCACCATCTTAAGAGACTGAGATTAGCCTAGATTTCTAAGGAAGTCCTTAAGGGTAAGAATACACCAACAACTTGTTCCTTGGTGCCTGCCAAACTTCTTGCCTAATACAATCTTATTTTAACGATGTTTTAATTAAAAAGTGAATTGAATTAACAAAAAAAACCCCAACACCATGCTCAAACGTCATCTGCTGTACTAACAATGTCTCTGGCATTGTAAAGATGTGTGTGTGTGCGTAGTCCAATGCTTATTTTGAAACCAGCCACCTGCCAAATTAAAAAGAAAAGTAAACTGGAGTGACAGAGAGCATCCTCATATTCTAGAGCAGCATTTCTCAACTTTGTCAACTTTTAATATGTGTGGAGCAATTCCCACAGAATTAAAAATGTTGTTGAGGTTCAGAAACGCTGAGCTAGACAGAATGGATAAACAATGGATAACACACCATTATGGTAAGTTCCCCTAACATCCACTCAAAATGCCAAATGTTCCCACTGTCTCAGTAAATAACCAGGAATCTTGTTTATATTATACACTGACTGAATCTGCATTTATAAATGCGATAAGGGGGGGAAAAGTTCTCCTTAAATTTCTAGACGTTTCACATGGATACAACTTTGTATTTTCAAGAGAAATATTTACATTCAATGTCAAAATATATTCTGGGATGATGGAAATTAGAACTTCAAACATTGTTATCCCATATTAACATACATGTAAATACGTTGGTGAAGCTTTCTTCACCAACATGATGAAAATCATTCCTCTTCTGTCAATTAAAATAGCACATAGTCTTTGTTAAAATCAAATTCTTTCTCTCCCTCCCTCCCTCTCTGTCCCACCACATTCTTTCTCTCTGTCACACACAACTTCCTTAAAATATAGAAAGTTAAACCTACTTACTGATTGAGGAAGGCAAAAAGATATCTTAGTAAGATAAGGACAGATCTGGGCAATGTCAGCAAAAGTTTACGTATGTGAAGAGCTCTCTCATAGAGATTTTCTGTTCCTGTAACATTAAGTAGAAAAATTAGTTATGGTTGGCTACTGAAAGTATAGAAGAACTTTCCACTGCTGATATGCTGGGCAACAACTCAAGATGTGTTGGGTCATATGACATTTGGCAACTATGGGAATTGTACTGCACATTTGGAGAATACCAGATTGGAAAAAGATTGTATAGACTATACAAGAGTGCAAAATGGACCTATTAATCTGTTCTAAGATTTATCTGTTGATATTAATTATATGAACAAGTTCCAAAGGCTTGTGGATGGTTAATTTATCCAAATAGGATCTTTGTCTATATCTGGAAGGAGAAAAATATGCTTTCTTGCTTAAGCTCTGTCCTTAACAAAATGCAGTACATTAACCAAACCAATGGTATTTGGGAGGGGGGTATCTAATAAGCTAACTTAAATATCTATACAAGGGAGACATGTATATATGTGCTCAGTGCCATGTATATAAAACATACAGAATACTTTGTTCTTATTGAGGAGAGAATGTAAATTCAAAAACACATTTGTTAAAATGGATGCACATAAATAACTATGATAGCAGTAAGCTGTCCTATATAAAGCTGTTGTAAAATAGAGCAAATAGTAAGCAAATAATACAATTTCATTCATTAAAGTGACCATTCAAAACACATGAAAGAAACAAATTTAACTTACTGGCACAAGAAATAAGATCATTAAACCTTTCCTTAGGAAAAATAGGATTCTCCAGCCCTCGGAAATAGAGCTTCAGTACTCCAGCAACTGAGTTAATATCATGGTTACTTTGGTCATCTGCCAAAGGATTTTCACCTACAAAAATAAATCAGATTAAATATTTACAGGCCTTAGATCTTGACAGCCTTTTTCTATTTAAGATTCTGAGCTATACTATATTGGTCATCCTGAAATTAGAATGAATGCAGCAAGAACTAAAATATTGCTCAAATATCTTCCCCATTGGAATATGAACTTTGATTTCCATTCTTTCTAATTATAATACAATATAGATTGTATATATTTTGTTTTGATTATTTTAAAAACCTACTTTAACCTCATGTTAAATACTGGAGTTACAATTGGAAAGTTGGGTAGTGATATTAATTGATTGATTAAATAAATAAGTGCACAGCAGAATGTCAGAGGGGATAAAAATGCTAGATTGTCCATGCAAGGCTAAATTCATTTGATTCAGTCATCCTTAACATGAGTATGATCCAGATATGTAGAGATCAGAATTCACAAAATTTTCCTCAAAGGCTAAAGAACTCTAGGAGGTAAAGTCTTCATATCTGGAAGGCATTCAAGATAGGAAAGTCTGATTTGGATAAATGAATTTAATTAGGCTGAATGGAATTCCAGTATTTCTGAGAAGCCGAGGACTGCATTGATTAAATATATTGGTTTTCACAACTATTTTCATTCAAGTTACATACCGTACAAATACTGACATATTCAAGCTCACATTTTCTTTGAGGTGAAAAAAGTATTAATTTTTTTTTTTAGAAAGATACGTTCTGCATTCTGTTGTGATTACAAATAATAGAATCTAAAGCCAAACTCCCATAGAAAATATGATGTTATTAAGGACTGTGGAACGTATTTTAAAAGAATGCTGGTACAAGATTGAATTATGTAGTTTTAACAATGTCCATTTAGTAAATTCATTTATTAAGTGACTAATTTAAACAAAACTTTAAAACTTGACTGGTAATAAGTAATTAGCAATAAGTAATAAGCAAATTATGTTCATTAAATAACCTAGAAAAATACTGTATTCTTTGGAGGGGGGAGTTTCTACTCACCAATATAATATCACATATTATATTAAGCATATAGAAAAAACATTGCAGGTTTAGTCTAGTCTAGCAATTTATTCTTTTTTCCCCACAATGATCAATTCAGTGTTTGAAAAAACCCAACGAAGACACGTCAAAGACAGCAACCTCTATTCAGAAAACCCTTTTAAAATGATGAAGATGCAGTTGACTAGCTATATGCAGTATTATTTCATTCTCCATTAATTGGTATATTTACCCCCCAAAAAGATGACTGAATTTAGGACAATTTCACAATAAATAAAGTGATAAACACAGAAAAAAAATCCTGTATAATGCCCAGTTTCCCAGTCTTCTGCATCTAAGATTTCTAATTCCAGCTGAAACCAGTCATGAGATTTTAGTATTTTTAAATAATTGTGTATATAATTTTAACGTATAATCAATACATATATCTGAAAGAATTTTCTAAACTTTATTCCACCTCCCCCCTCCCCCCCCCAAAAAAATAAGGAAAAAGAGGAGGAGGAAAAAGTAAACAGAAAAATAGAACACAACTGGATGGCACTGAGGTAGACGGGGGAAGAAGTAACTGCAGAGATGGAAGAACCTGCCTATTTAAAAATGACAAAAAGGGTTAAATTCAGGAGTTACCAGTAGCTACCTCTGGGCTGCAATAATGTGGATGGTTACCAGATGACAGCAGAGCTACATTAAACTCTTTTTGCTATCATTTAGAGCCTATGACAGTGATGGCTAACCTTTTTGCCATCGCGTGCCAGGAGGGCGGGCGGGGGAGGGTTGCGCGCGCACGTGCCCACGCGCATGTGTGCGCAACCCCCTCCCCCTCCCCCCCCCGCTCCTGGCACATGATGGCCTGGTAGGCCCGTTTTTCTTTCTTACCTGGTTCCAGATCCTCTCTGTGTATCTGGGAACGGCGAAAACAACCTTTCCCACTCCCTTGGAGGCCCTACGGAGGCTGAAAAAGCCCATTTCCCAACTCCCGGTGGGACAGGAAGTGACATTTTTTGCTGTCCCCAGCCTCCAAACCTCTCTAGGAGTCTCTAGGAGCCTCTAGGAGTCTCTCTAGGAGTCTCTGGAGGCTGGGAAAAAACGTCAGTTCCTGTCCCACCAGGAGTGGGGAAATGGGCCCTTTGAGCCTCCATAGGGCCTCCAAGGAAGTGGGAAAGGCTGTTTTCACCGTTCCCAGATACAGAGAGAGGATCTGGAGCCAGGTAAGAAAAAAAAAACGGGCCTTCCCCACCCCACCCCCAGGCCCTCCAGAGGCAGGAAACAGCCTGTTTCCCTACTTCTGGTGGGCCCAGAAGGCCCGAAAATCAGCTGGCCGGCGCGCACATGCGCCCCAGAGCTGAGCTGGCGTGCCCACTAATATGGCTCCACGTGCCACCTGTGGCATGCGTGCCATAGGTTCGCCATCACGGGCCTATGAAGTTCAAAGATAGTAGCCTTATCTCCAAAGACAAATATCCAAAGCTATCTAAGTTTTTAAAGATCAATTGTGCTAATTTCTTTATTTTTCTATTCTTCTCAATGAATAAAAGTTTTCCTTTTCATAATAATAATTTAGGAAAAGAATTTTTATGGTATGATGCATATGAACAGAAAAATAATAAATCACCTCTTTCAAATGAATTTTTAATATCATTAACCTCCACCTGAGAGCCTGACACCCTGAAAATGCCCTGGTGTTGAAGACCTGAAAAATAATAACAGAGAAATATATAAAATTCAACATAATGTTTCAAATGAGGGAAAATACTAGCATCTTAGTCCTTTATTATCACATTTGTATATAACTTTCCACCAAGACTCAACAAAGTAGCTTACTGCATTTGCAAATGCAATGCTAATTGCTTCCAAAGAACAAGAATTCCTTTCCTTGCTTGATTCCAGCTCTTCCTTCCTTTGCTCCATGGCTTCATACCTTCCAATTAATCCTTTCTTATTGAATTAATATTCTGCCCTTTCTTTTTTTGTTTTATTCCTCACCAAGCCCTTCCCTTTTTAAGTTTTCAACAAGTTTTCATTCAAGACTAAAGTTCATTATACTTCCTAACTGTAATTGGAAAAGGATTATAACATGTCAGAAAAAAGCATCATGATTTAAGCACAATAGTCTTCAAAATTGTGATTAAATTAAAAAGTATTTTAGAACTCACCATACAAATTGATAAATCGGATACAGCTTTCTACAATGAGAGGGATTATTTGTCCTGAGTCCTGGTGAGGGGAAAAAATAATCCATATAGTTTGCAAATTGTATGAGATAAATAGCACTTATCATTAGGATACAGTGGCGTCTTTATAGTATCAGACATATATACATCCAACTCTCACTAGAATGATATCTATACCAATTGTGCTTCTTGATTATTTAACTTTTTCATAAAACAAGCTCTTGAGCCAATTGTGTTTTTCAGTTTGGCCAGGAAACAAACACTAATGCCCAGCATCCATAACCAGTGCCATATATTTCTACTGATGGTAGCTAGCAATTCCCATTTAAGAAGACTGGTAGATGCAATAATGGAAGGCACTTTGAAAGTAATAAATCTTGCCTGCTAGAGTGTTGCTGTTATTGACTTTAATAAATCTTAGCTTATTTATTTAAAAGCTAGGCAATTTTCATTCTTCTTCTCCTGTTCCTCTTTTGATTTGTTTAAAGCATTTTATTATTTGAGGGGTTCCTCAAACACAATTTCCTGTTACAACAGAACTGATGAAATGTTATTTAATGTCTGATTATTAAAAAAGATACGACATCAAGATCATATTTTGAATAAAGAAGTAATGAATTATACTATACAAGAAAAAAGATGATACAAACCTAGAGGCACAGTGCACAGAAGTTTATTAAACTGATACCCTTACACCTGAACTGCTTCTATAGATTATATGATAAATCTGGCTATTTATGTTTGTATAACTATCCTGTTTCCCTGAAAATGAGACCTATCCTGAGAATAAGCCCTAGCATGTTTTTTCCATGTGCGCCTAATACTGTATAAGCCCCATGCCCAAAATAAGCCCTACTTAAGAGCATGCATAGCCAGCCGGCCGTCCATTCTGCCTGGTTGCTCGTGGTGCCACAATCACAAGGCAAGGCAGGGTGGTGGTGGAGCTGCCCCACTCCGGCTTACCTCAGGGACCCTGCAGCCCTGCCATCCACACCCTACCTGCCTTGTAGCGGCAGCACTGACAGCCATGTGCAGCAAATGTATAAACCGTATTGGTTGTTTACCAGCTAATATGTGCACAGAATACAAACCAGATGGAAGGGGTACTGTTGGCACAAGGAATGTAGAGATTAAAATGACTGGATTATTAATATACTTCTACAGTTCAATGAAAATCTTGGTTTTTCTATTAACCTACTTCAGTGCCCATCATTCTACAGATATTTGACCAGTTACGATACAAATAGAATACAAATACAAATACATTCCCAAGGTTACAATGTAATGCAATAGTCTGAAATAACCCTTCACCACAAGTGGGAGTGAGGAGAGTCAAGGGTAGGAGAAGATGCTTCCCAACTGCACCTTTCATTTTGTGGAATCACCACTTGGTATGTCCTGATCCTGTTAGGTCCTCAGAAGTTGTCTGAAATACAAAGCTCTTGCAGAGGGCTTTTAAAAATTAACATGAAAAGACTGTTGGAATTCCTAATTTTTACTAGAATATCATGAACCTTTTCTCCAAAGAATGATAGCTCCAGTTTATTACACTCTTAATACAAAGGCGTTCCTGTTTCCATGATGACTCTTTGAAGGAATCCTGCAGTCAAGCATCAGATGCTACTGGGAAAGCAATAGTTCTTTTTATTTTCTGCCTGATAGTTTTGTCACTTAATATTCAAGAGCATTCTTGAATTTGAATGAGACCAGAATGATACTAATTTCTCTGTATTACAAATCCAAATTCCTGTTATTATGATAGGTGGGCAGGGACATTTTTTCCAAAAGTAGGAATTTACCAGCATGCAGAAGATTTATAAATCATGGCTGAATCACCAGTAAAACTGACAAGTTATAAGCTTCACTTCCAAACAGTACTTTATTGTTCTCACAGGAATGAAAGTGAACTATTCATTTTCTATGGAAAAAAGTATAAAGAAGTGTACAGTATGAACTAAACATTTTATATAGGACAAATTCTTTTCCTCTTTATGGTTCTCTTATTCTTTCCTATAAAATTCAATGAGAACAAGTAAAAAACTAAAGCAACAACTGTCATGTTGGATTCTGAATATATTATGTCAACATGGGATAGAATTATCACAACTTTTTAGTTTCATATGTATTTTGATCTTTTAAATGTATCATTTCTATTGGTCCTTTAAAGCACTCAGCAAGATAGTTAATAAAATGAAACAAAAAAGGAATGTACACATAGTTAATCAGTGAATTGACTCAAAATCAGATTATCATTGTCCAATAATGTTTTTGTAATGTACAATAATGTAATTGTCCTCTCTCTCTCTTTCTCTCCCCTTCCCTCTCTCCCACATCAGTATTGTGTATATATTGTTTATATCAGTATTGTGTATATATTGTTTATATCAGTATTGTGTATATATGAATTTGTATCAAGATCCACGAATTTGGGTAAAATCAAAAACCAAGAATCACACAGATTTTCAGTAAGATGTCTTTAATACTAGTCTGGAGTAAATACAGAAGAAGATCAGACTCTCATTTATAGTGAGTTAATTAAGATGAAATCTCTTTGAAGGATTAGAAATGCTTCTTTCTAATTTCTTTCTACCTGGAGTAAATTGCTGTTTATCAGATAAGTTGTCAATTGATTCACTTGTTATCTGTTTACTATTTTTTCTACTTTCTCTGCTATTCGTTTCCCAGCCTTCCCTCTCACACTCTATTTCCATGATGGCGAGCCTATGGAATGTGTGCCAGAGATGGCACGCAGAGCCCTCTCTGCTGGCATCCACGCCGTCGCCCCAGGTCAGATCTCCATGGCGTTTCTTTCATGAGCTTCTTTCCCTGCAAACGACGAAACAGAAGCTCACAAAAGAAAAAGATCTTACCTCTTGCCACGCTGCCGGTGTTGTGATGTCCTGCCTACCACCAGCCAGCTGGTCTTCGGGGGTCTGCTGCGCATGCACGTTCATGCATATGCGCATGCATATCCATACACACAGGTTGGGCACTTGGTGTCTAAACCGAAAGTCTGTTCCAGAAACCAGAAGAGCAGCCGCCCAGGTGTGCATGTGAGCGCCGGGAAGATGAAGTTCTGGTTTTCAGTGTGCTCATGCGCCTTGGCCACCTGGTCTTCCAGTTTCTGGCGTGCATGCGCACTGGGCGGCTGCTCTTCCAGTTTTTGGTGCTCCCGCGCATATGAAGACCAGCTGTCCAGTGCACTGGAACACGGAAAACCAACGGGCGATGGCTCGTGTGCCCAGAGAGATGAGTCTGTGTGTTACTTCCAGCACGCGTGTGATAGGTTCGCCATCACTGTGTTAGACTAAGACCATGGATATCCAGGTCATCAGCCTTAGTTTTAGAAACGCACTTGAAGCCTTTGTACTTTTCACTCTTTCACAAATCCAACCTACTTAGCAAGATCGTTGTCATGGGAATTAAAGAAAGGAGATCTCCATGTAACCTGCCATAACCTCTTTGAGGGAAAGTGCAATGAAAATCTGTTAAACAAATAAATAAGTAATATGAAACTGAAAAAATGTATTCAAGTGGTTTCGACTTGTGAAACTTCTTTGGTCAGCAAAGTTGTTAGTGAAATGGGAAGTTGAGCAATTTTAGATTTCTTTAACTTTTTTGTTCTGCTTGTAGGAAAGAATGGGAAATTACTGAAAAATCACCTCACTATTATGTCAGGGAAAGAAGACTGCTGGATTAAAGAGCTCTCATCAATGGATAGAAATTGACTAGAAATAAGCCAAGCCCTACTACTTTTTTTGGATCAGAAACATTAATTAAGGAAGAGTAAGAATTGTCTACTGGCTTGAATGTCTTCTGGTGATCAGTTTTATGTCAAAGTACTTTGTTCTAAAAGCTTTTGTTTTCAAAAGCCACTATTTGAACATGAAATATTTTACTCTATTCTTCTATTACCCACTGCTACAGGAAAAGATAATGTGATATATGGGGCTCTGTGGGAGTAGAGGGTTCTCCATTCCATTCCTGAACTGAGAAACTAATTACTCCTTACGTGACCTGTTTTTGAATTTTGTAAAATACCCCATGGTTACATTCCAAAAAGAGTTTACAATTTCAGGGGAAGATCTATCCATCTTAAGAGTATAGCAAATACTCTTGATTAAATTATCAAATTCTACAGGATTAACTTTAAGGAACATTTTATATAAAATGTTATACTTGTCACTATGTTTCCTGACAAATTTGTGGAAAGTATATTCATCCTTGAAAATATCTTGGCACTGGTAATGAATGATGCTAAAAATATAGTTTATGAATTTTTAAAAAGCCACAGAGGATCTAAATGCAAAGTAAGACTTTTGTTTATTCTTCTGATACAATAAGCACTTTATGTGATATTGTAAACTGCTTTCATAGACAAAAAAATCCCGGATAATAGGATTTTCACAGCTGAATATAGGTAGGATTGCTACATAAAAAGCCATAACAAGTATGTCATTGCATGTATTCATTTCTTGTAATGTAATGCTGTCTCTATATCTCTTTTTGAGTAAAATGGACATTATAAATATACTAGATGAAGAATATTTGAGCCATTAAAAATGTTAAAAGATACTTGCATACTTTTCTCATTGCTGAATTCAAACAATTCTCAATAATTGGTAATTTTTAAAAAAATCAGACAAAAAAAGGTTAATCAGTTCATTAGCACTATACCTGATATCTGGTATGTGAGTTCCTTCGTCCTCTGCTGTAAAATGCAATTAGAAATAAAGTACATAAAAACAGGATGAAGAATGTAAATACAAAAGTCACAAAATATAGCTTAAAGGGTCCTTAGAAAATAAAAACAAATACTGGGTTCTTAGAACCAGAGTAGCATAATGATTGAATGTAATCTTCCCTGTGAATTTAATTAGGACATTATAAGAACATACGGTATAAAACAATCTGCATAAAGCAAGACACTCTACATGCTATTGCTATTATTAAGCTAAACTTCTTTTGTAAAATTTGCTATAATTTTAAGTCTTATATCTTTTTTCCAAGTGCAATGCATCTTAAGATACTGTTGTTTTGTGAATTGATATACCAAAATTACATATTTTTATATCACCACATGTAACTCAGCCCTCACAATTCTTTCCTAAAGATAAGATTAGGAGGCAGTGGTAAGTTGTGTGTAGTTGCCTAATCAGAAGGCCTTACACTGTTATGTGCTGTTTCTGCTCCTGCTATCTCCAAGTCACTACTTGATATATCAATACTTGGGAAGAGCACTGGTCCACCCAAAAGATGGATACTTCCACCAGATATCCATATGCAATTTATTCACCTCCTAGACCTTCTCTTTGTAGATCTTCTCTTCAATGAATCCTGAAGTTTTACCCTATATATTCACTACATGTAAAACAAACAATGAACTTTGATTGGGAGGCTGATTTCCTTCCTTAGAAAGACAAAGAAATATGTCACTGATGCACTGATGTAGACACAGAAGAAATCAATGTATGTATTGACTACAGAGGTTAGAATTCTGATAGCAATAGCACTTAGACTTTTATACTGCTTCATAGTGCTTTATAGCCCTCTCTAAGCAGTTTACATAGTCAGCATATTGCCCCCAAAAATCTGGCTCATTTTACCAATCTTGGAAGGATGAAAAGCTGAGTCAACCTTGAGCCATTCAGAATTCGACTCCTGGAGTGAGCAGTGAGTTAAGCCTGCAGTACTGCATTCTAACCACTGTGCCACCACAGCTCTGATACTGGTGACAAATATCTACCATCGGTGTATGCATAAGCAGGCCATTAAAATGGTATTTTGAAGAAGGGCCCACAATTTTTCTTTCCAAGGGAAGGTATTGAGACCCATTGGGAAATTATTGGAGATGTGATTATAATCTGGAGAATTTAATGTTCTATTCTTAAAGTTTTTTCCTTTTTTTAAAAAAGGGATATATTAAGCCTTTCTGAAACATAATACTCCTATTTTATAGCTTTCCATAAAATAAACTTTATGAGAGTATATTTAACAACTTACCTTGTAGTCATATATTCTGCCCTATGACCTAAAGATTAAGAGAAATATAATCTGAAAACGAACGGAACCAGAAGTATATTTCTTGTATAACTGTACAACAAATATGCCAATCAGATTTTTAATCCTCAATTATTTATAATATAACTGTTCATATTTATTTCACAAGACTTATGTTTACATACAAGAAAAATAGTTTCCTACTACAGAGAGTTTTAGAATGTTCAGAAAAAAACATTGTTTCTTATGCAAGTAAAGCATATTTACGCTATTAAGTTAAGCAAAACAAAATTTGAACCAGTGGTACCAGTCTGTGCATGCATACATAATGAATTATTCACAAAAGGAGAAAAGCTTGCCAGTATGCTTTGGGGAATGAACATATTGCCAACTTTCATAAGTTAAAAATAATTTAGGATGTAGCTATACTTAGGAAAGTAAATATTTAATGATGCCACAAAAAGATATATGACTTTGTGTTAAGTAATATACATATCTGGTGCATATGAGCCCAATAATGTTCTATATATCCTTCATACATTTCAATTATGTATAACTTAGCAACTCTGCAAAAATCCCTCTGAAATAAATAGATGGATAATTTGTAGAAATTAAAACAACAAAAACAGAATAAATTTCCATTATAGTAGTTTACCAAATAAAAAATCAGGGGTCCAAATTGTATTCAATAAACATAATTATGGTAGTTTGATGGGGAAAGAATTCATTTTTGCAAACAGACCATATACATTAATATGGTAACTTGATTGTTAGTTAACCTGAAACTTAATTATTCTATTATTTAGCACTACTCATATAACAGCACTGATTCCTATAATGATTCCTAGTTCCTTTTTTTTTTTAATATAAACTTTATTGTTTAAAAGAAAGAACATTTTAAAAAAAAAACACGTACAAGTTTCTCACAATTACGAGACAAATTTACATATACAGTACATAAACGTCACCTATTAACTAATTTCCATTATTCTATATAAATATATATATTATATGTACATATATATAAACGTACAATAAAGTATTCCATATTCTATACCTCTGACAGTGCTGTTTTTTGTTATATTGATTTCTTCTAAATTTCATCTCTAGCCATTTCCTTTCCTCTGGTTTATCCATTGGTACCATCTATTCCATGTTTCATAATATTTAGAGTCTTCCTTATCCTGTAACTCTAAGGTTAGTCTATCCATCTCTGCGCATGTATATATTTTTTGTATTAATTCCTGATCTGTTGGCAATCGATCGCTTTTCCAGAATTGTGCTAATACTAATCTTGCCGCTGTGATTATATGAAGTATTAGGTATTTTATGTCATTTCGGATGTTCTTTTTGATCATGCCCAATAGGAAAATCTCAGGTTCTAATTCAATTTCACAATCTGTAATTTCTCTTATCCATATCCTTACCTTGTTCCAGTATTTCTTAATGATGGGGCAAAGCCACCAAGCATGGTAGAAGGTTCCCTGTGTTTTTCTGCATTTCCAACAGGTCGGATCTACATTTGGGTACATTTTCGCAAGTCTTGCAGGGGCCAGGGGCCATCGATACCACATCTTATAATGATTTTCTTTGTAGGCCACCGATTTTGTCATGCTGTAATTAGTTTCCCAAACTCTTTCCCAGTCTTCTAGCTGTAGGCTGTGCCCGATGTTTCTCGCCCATGCTATCATCTGCCCTTTCACTAATTCTTCTGCCAAATCATATTCGAGTAAATATTTGTAGATTTTTTAAATTAATTTCCCTTCTTTAGATTCTAATAATTTATCCAACCTGTTTTGTTTCAAATCTATTCCCCCCTCCTCCTGGTCCTTCCTATATCTTATCTTTATTTGTGAATAGGGCCACCAATCTATTGCTATTCCTTGTTCTTTTAATTCTTCCCTAGTTTTTAATTTGCCCTGTGTATCTAATATTTCTCTATATCGTAATATTTTTTGTTCTGATAGTGTATTTGGGTGGGTAATTGCTTCTATTGTTGACAACCAACCGGGGATTTTCATATAATGCTTACTTTGAATTTGTTGCCATGTACTAATTAAAGATTTCCTAATGGTATGATTGTTGAAATGTTTATATGATTTGTTTCCAGAGTTCCAAATAAAGGCATGCCATCCCTTCATTAGGTCATGTCCTTCGAGCTTTAACAATCTTTGATTCTCCAAAGTTATCCATTCCTTGATCCATAGTAAACTGGCAGCCCTATAATATTTTTGCCACGCTGGAAAACCGAAACCACCCCTAATTTTATCGTCTTGTAATATATTTAATTTTATTCTCGATTTTTTCCCCTCCCATACAAATTTTGAGGTTATTTTATCCAAATTATCAAAAAATTTCTTATCCAATTTTATTGGGATCGTTTGGAATAAATAAAGGAGTCTTGGAAGTATGTTAGATTTTACTACTGCTATCCTCCCCAGAAGGGACAACTTTAGTTTCCCCCATTTATCTAAATCTTCTTTAATTTTCTGGACCAAGGGTTCGTAATTATCTTGTTTTATTGTTACAGTTCTAGCTGTCAAATGGATCCCCAAGTATTTCACCTTCTTAGTTGCCTGTAATTGTGAAACCTTTACTAATTGCTCTACTTGCTTTGCTGTCATGTTTTTTGTTATCATATTTGTTTTTTCTTTATTGATTTTTAGGCCTGCTACTCTTCCAAATTTTTCAATTTCTTTTATTAACTTGGGGGTCGTTTCTATTGGGTCTTCTGCAAAAAAGACAAGGTCGTCCGCAAAGGCTTGGACCTTGTACTCCTCTTTCTTAATCTTTAGCCCTTGTATCTCTTTGTTTGCCCTAATTCTAATTAATAGATTTTCTAACGTTAAAATAAAAAGCAAGGGGGATAGCGGACATCCTTGCCTTACTCCTTTATTTATTCCAAAAAATCCCGTTGGATCCCTGTTTACTAATATACATGCTTTCTGATCCTGGTATATTGATGATATCATTTTTATAAATTTGTCGCCGAAATTCATACTTTTAATTTGATGTTTCATGAATTGCCAGTTTACTTGGTCAAACGCTTTTTGTGCATCCAGAAAGATCAGGGCTATCTGTCTCTCTGAATGCACTTCATAATACTCTAAGACATCCATTACCATCCTTAAATTATTTTTTATTTGTCTTGTGGGCAGAAAACCGTTTTGGTCTTGATGTATTTTGTTTTGTAATATTTTTTTCATTCTATTGGCAATTATATTCATTAGAATCTTATAATCGGTGTTCAACAAAGAAATTGGCCTGTAATTTTTTATCAATGTGGCATCTGCCCCTTCTTTTGGTATTAGGGAGATATACGCTTCTTTCCATGTGTTTGGTAGTTTTGCCTCCGACAGGGCTTCATTATATACTTCTAATAATATTCCGTTTAATAATTCTCCGAATGTTTTGTAAAATTCTGTTGGTAAGCCATCAGTCCCCGGTGTTTTGTTATTTTTCTGTCTCTTCAATGCTTCTTTTATTTCACCCATCGTGATCTCCCTGTTTAGTAATTCTTTTTCCTCCTCTCTTAATATTTGTACCCCCTCTCCTTTTAAGTACTGTTCAATTTCCTCTGTTGTTACTGTGTCTTTCCCATACAGCCTCTGATAGTATTGAAGTATTATTTCCTTCTTTTTCTCTATGCTTTGTTGGATCTTCCCCTCATCATCTTGTAGTTTCTGGATTATTCTTTTTTCCCTTTCCTTCCTTAACCTATACGCCAACCACCTCCCTGGTTTGTTTGCATGCTCAAAGTGATTCTGCCTTATATATTTCAAATTTAGTGCGTATTTCCCTTGTTCTAATATATTGAGCTTATGTTTTGCCGCTATCCACTTCATCCTTATTTCTTCATCACCTGGATTCCCTTGCAATTTATATTCCCAATTTTGAATTTCCTCCCGTATTTTATTATATTCTTTTTCTCTCTCCTTTCTCCTTTTTGCATTGTACGCTATTGTAAGGCCCCTTACATACGCCTTAGTGGTGTCCCATAAATTTTGTAGGGAGGTGTGTTGTTTTGTGTTTTCCTTATAGAACAATTCTAGTTCCTTTTCCATATATTTCTTATATTCTTTCTCTTTCATTACCTGTAAATTCATTATCCATCTATTTTTCTTTCTTTGGTGCCCCCTCCAAATCATCATTAATGGGTTATGATCTGCCCAATCGTTTGATAAGATTTCTACAGTTTCTATCTCTCTCATTAACATACCAGATACCCATGCCATGTCTAACCTGGACCAGGACTTATGTGGATTCGAGTAGTATGTGAAATTCTTGATTTCGGGGTTATAAAACCTCCAGCTATCTATCATGTTTAACTCTTCCACCATTTCTGTAAAAGTTCTAGGTAATATATTTTTCCTACTTTTATTTTGCTGGTCAGATTTATAATCTTTTTTAACATCCGAAATGGCATTAAAATCTCCAATTAAACATACATTTTCCATTTTTTGCTCTATGATTTTCTCATGTACTTTTTTATAAAATTCTAATTGTTTGCTATTTGGTGCATATATCGCTAGCAACAATATATTTTTGAAGTCAAGTTTTAACTCTACCATCACAATTCTACCTTCAGTGTCTGTATATCTTATATTACTATCTATCCCTTCCTTAATATATACCACTACTCCTCTTTTTTTTTCTTCTGCCAGTGATGCATATGTTATTCCTAATTTCTTATATTGTATGTAATTTATATCTTGTTTTCTTATGTGTACCTCCTAGAGACATACTATATCGGACTTTTGTTTCAGAATCTTTTTGAAAATTTGGTGTCGTTTAGATGGTGAGTTGAGGCCATTTACGTTTACTGATAGAATTTTTAGAGTTCTTTCCATGTCTTACTGACTTTCCTGTTGTTTCTTCTTTGCTTCTTCTAATTCCTTTTTTTTGCCTCTTGTTTGTACTCCTCCTTCCTCCTGAGTCTCTCCTTCCTCCTCTTTCCCTCCCTGTGGTGAGGTTCTTTCACGTTCCTGACTCTGATTTCCTTTAATGCTTCTTCCTCTCTCCTCTCTGCTGCCATTTGTTATCTCACTGGCCATCATTTGATCGTATAGTTCTTTTGCCTTACTCTGCGAATCCACCTTTATTTTCCTTCCCTGCCACGTTACCAACATTCCCTCAGGTATCGTCCATTTAAAAGGTATATATCTCCTGTTTAGCAACGTGGCCAGGAACCAGTAGTCTTTTCGCAAGTCTCTTATTCTCTTAGGAATTTGTTTCAGAGTTACTATTTCTTTATTCTTGTAAAGCATAGGTTCATCCTTTGTTATTTTATAAACAATATCTCTCACCTTTCTTCTCACAAATCTTATGTGTACCTCCCGTGGAAGTTTGTGTTGTCGGGCGTAGTTTGTGTGTACGCGGTACACTTCATCTAATTCATTTATTATTTCTTCCCTTTCTCTTTGGAGAGCCTCAGCTATCATCTCCGCCATTATCATTGTCAAATCTTCTTCTCTTTCTTTGGCTACATTTTGAAAACGCAGAAAAAATGCCGCCTTTTCCATCTCCAGCTGGGCTACTGTGTTCTCAAGCTCTTTATTTAATCCCGTCATTTTTATGTCCAACGCTTCCAACTTTTCTTCTGTCAATTCAGTTTTTTGTTCTATTTCTTTTATTTTTTGATCATTTCTTTGGATAATTTCTTGGATCAAGTCCATTTTTTCATCAATTTTTTGGATGTCATTTTTAACTTCCTTCTTTACCTCATCCATATCTTTCCTAGATTGTTCATGGTTTCTGGTCATGCACTCTTGCATTTTGACCATTGTTTCTTGTATTGAGATTAAAGTGGCTTGCATTGTTGGCAAACTGGATGTGCTGGATTGTTTCTCTGGTGCAAACATTCCCTCTAGAGTTTTCTGTGATACTGGTGAGGCCGATGGTCCAGCTAAAATTGATGTCGTTTTTTTCGCAGTCTTCAACGTTGTCGTGGTGGTGCTCGTCATCTCTTTCAGAATTCTATATTGTTCCACCAGTATTTTATCAACTTTCTCCCAAATCACCATCCAACTTTTATATAATTTCTTTCTTTCCCTTTCCTTTTCACTTATAGAGAATTCAATTCAATGGTCCCTCATTACTTTATCTATTTTCTTTAAGTAAGATTGCTTTAACTAATTAATTGTCTCTTATAAAATTCTTCATTAAAAAATACAGTAAAAATATATAATATAGGTATTACAATATGTTAATATAGGTTAGTCTAAATAGCTAATTATAGATATAAATAGATATAAATAGATATAAATATAAATATATGAAAGTAGATAATCATAAGCTTTGCAAAGCAATTAATTCAATTAATTCCCACTATTTCCTTCTATAACACTATAAAACAATTTAAATAGATAGAAATATAAATATATAAAAGTAAATAATCACAGGCTTTACAAAACAATTAATTCAATTGGTTCCCACTATTTCCTTCTATAGCAGTACAATTATTATGAATCCTAATTTATTATATACTATATATTGCATGTACTATTATATACTATATACTAATTTATTTATTAATAAACCCAAATACCACTATGATTCTTAATTCCGATAAATATCAATAAAAAAGCAGTTATCTATATGTTGTTGTTGTTGTTTTTTTTTAAAAAAGAGGAGAGAATTATATAAGAGTAATATATTTCAATGACTTTCTATGACTTTTATAAGTCTTTTTCGTCGTAATTCCAACAAAAGAGAGGTCTTTCCTGTTCCAATATGGCGATCTCCAATCTGCACAGTCACAGTCCACAATTTATTCTTTGCCAAAATACCTCTCTCCTTCCGTTAGAGCAGCCAAAAAAAAGGAGGATATAATAAATGTTCGTTCTCTCTAAGTCTTTAAATCTCTGTACTTCAAATCCACCTTTCCTCACCTTCGTCTTCACTGTTTAAAGTCTTCTCCGCTTGTCTCTGTCTCGTCCTCTTCCTTTCTGCTCACCTCCTCAGTTGCCGCCCCCTTGTGCTCTGAGATCTTCTTCTCCGTGCTGCCCCTCCGGAACAATTTTTTCCTCTTCGGGTTTGCGCCAAAGTATTTCAAAATACTCCAAAGTGACAATCCTCGCTTGCTCACCCTCGTCCGTTTTGCACTGTGCTCACTCCTCCGCTTCCCCCGCTGGTCTCAATCGGCTTGTCGGGCCTCCGGGCCAGCTGCGCTCGCAAGCTAGCTTCTTCCTGAGCCTGGATTGAGGGATCTTCTTGGTACGGCGGGAGATCGCACCTCTCCTCGCCGCCCCCGAAGTTTCCCCTCTCTATTCCCGATCTCTCCAAGATCGGTCTTCGCCGAATAAGGCACCAAAAGCTCGGAAAACCAGCAACAGAGAGAGAGCGCTTCTCTCCTGTGCCGCCACAGCCCTACGTCACCGCCGGAAGTCTCAATGATTCCTAGTTCCTATAACAGCACTGATTGCTGTTTTTCATAAATGATTACTTAGATTTTGTTTCACAACACAATTTCCATAAAGTTAATTCTGGTTGTGCAAAAGGGGAAAAAAAGAAATACAATCATATATAGTACTTTTAATCATATTTTAAGACTGATGAGCTGGTCTTAAAAGCAGCAATTTAATTTTTAAAAAATTCATATAAGCTGATCTTAAAACTGCAAAATAGCAGGTATTCCTGTACAGCGATCATGACACATCGGTAGACAATACAGTTAAATATTAAATTCTGTGGGTAATAAAAAATTTCTTTTAAACTTGATTTTTGCATATCTGGAGCAGCATGATTATAAATCCCATTTAAAATATGAAAGAGATTTTCTGTGATTCATGACAATACATGAAATCCCACTGTTAGAAGAATTACTCTGCTGGAGCACATTTGGAATGAAAGACGTGCTTTCTCAGTAATATAATGAACAAAGTGGCAGCTCCATGCTTTTGCCCAGAAAGTTTATAATGAATTCTACTCATTATGAGGCACTGTTTGAGCCTTCAGGGATGTAGTTAATAAATACTACAGCAGAAGATGCAAAGTAATGTTGTTAAGAGAGAAATATCTTGACTCTTAGGAATTACAATATAAATCAATTCACACAGTAAATTGGACACTAAATGGTCTTGCACAGTGGGATGGCTAATTCTGCCAAAGTTTCTTCTTTTCTATCTCATATTGCCTATTAGAGGTTTAATACCTTTACTGCAATAATTATTAATTGCTTTATTAAAAGAAAGAAAGAAAAATGTAATGATTCAATAAATAAAAAAACAGGATTAGTTTTATTTTGTCTTTGTGGTTTGGGATGTTTTCCCCTTATCAAAATATATACTATATGATTAATTTGCTATGATATGAGACACCATTTGCAAGCAGTATTCAATAATAATATGACTTTTGGTTTACATCCCCTTGGTTTAGCATTAAACCAAGGGGAAATTTATCAAACAGGAAGCATAGTTTCAAACTATAAAACATGAGCTTGTGCATCATGCTAAACCCCAGAACTGTATTATCACTTACCATAACAAATAAATTGGGCACAAATCGAAATTATTATTTAAATATATTGCAATAGTGAAAAAAATAGTGAATTGTTGGATTATTGGTGTTGAATTGTTGGATTATTGGTGTTCTCTGAGTTTGCTATTGTATCTAATAAGAAAGATCTGTGCAGCAGAAACCTACATTACCTATCATAACTAACCAAATCCTAAATTCAATATAGGTTTATAAAGTATTTTGAATCATTTACCTTCTCCAAGTGTCCGCTGCAGTGAATCATGTTTTGCCTGAAGCTTTGTGATAAGATTGCTTCCTTCCAGGTACTCTCTGAATTTCTGTAGAGACATAGATCTGTATTTCTTATCTGAATATTTGCAATCAAAATTAGTGGGATTTCAAGGAAGAAAACAACTACAATTAGGTCATATTACACAGTATGTAAAACATCCGACATACCATGAAATAGAACTGTTCAGTTTCCTGCTGATTAGCTCTTCTTTTAGCTATGCTAGGCTTGCTCAGGTAGGTCTCAGAAACGGTTGACTTCACAGACTCAGTCGAACGACTGTGCTGGAAGCATTCAGAAACATCATAGTCTTCAATGGTGACCATGTCTTGTATTGTCTGTGAAGTAGCTTCTGTTGTCTTCTTAACCTGGGGTTAACAAGTCCATTTCATCAAACAGAAAGGCACATCAAAATTTATTTCAGAATGAAAATAGAAAAGGGTTGAAGGAAATCAATCCTTTGATAAATCATCTCTGATTGAACTATGGGATGTGAACATAAGAAATATGAAGTTTCACTACATTCTATATATAGATTCTTCTTTTGAATCATCAAAACAAAAACAAAATAGATTAATAAATCAAATTAAAGTCTTCAGTTTGTTTATTTCAATTTATTTCAGAAGTATACTATATTGGTGTTTCTTGTGAGAATTACATTCTGTCCAGAGACTACACAGCAATATAACACAGCATTATGAGGGGTCCTTGGCGCTCTCTGAGCTTGCTTGTTTTCTTGCAGATGTTTCATTATCCTAGCTAGATAACATCATCAATGCTAGTAAGGAGTGCTGTTTGCTGTCAGTTTATTATCTGGTGACTTGCCTGTCTGTGTAGGTGGGGGCAGTCTTAGAGATTCTTTGATTGGGCTGTTTACTGATGGCTTTTTTTGCAGTTTCTTGATTGGGGTATTGCTTGCTTGAGTGTTGGTCTGAAGTTGACTTTGAAGTTAATCTACAGTCAGGTCCAGAAATATTGGGACATCGACACAATTCTAACATCTTTGGCTCTATACACCACCACAATGGAGTTACAGCAGTTTGCATATGTGCCTCCCACTTGTTAAGGGACCAAAGGTAATGGGACAATTGGCTTCTCAGCTGTTCCATGGCCAGGTGTGATATTCCCTCATTACCCCAATTACAATGTGCAGATAAAAGGCCCAGAGTTCATTTCATGTGTGCTATGTGCATTTGGAATTTGTTGCTGTCAACTCTCAAAATGAGATCCAAAGAGCTGTCACTATCAGTGAAGCAAGCCATCATTAGGCTGAAGAAACAAAACAAACCCATCAGAGAGATAGCAATCACATTAGGCGTGGCCAAACAACTGTTTGGAACATTCTCAAAAAGAAGGAACGCACCGGTGAGCTGAGCAACACCAAAAGACCTGGGAGACCACGGAAAACAACTGTGGTGGATGACCGAAGAATTCTTTCCCTGGTGAAGAAAACACCCTTCACAACAGTTGGCCAGATCAAGAACACTCTCCAGGAGGTAGGTGTATGTGTGTCAAAGTCAACAATCAAGAGAAGACTTCACCAGAGTGAATACAGAGGGTTCACCACAAGATGTAAACCATTGGTGAGCCTCAAAAACAGGAAGGCCAGATTAGAGTTTGCCAAACAACATCTAACAAAGCCTTCACAGTTCTGGAACAAGATCCTATGGACAGATGAGACCAAGATCAACTTGTACCAGAATGATGGGAAGAGAAGAGTATGGAGAAGGAAAGGAACTGCTCATGATCCTAAGCATACCACCTCATCAGTGAAGCATGGTGGTGGTAGTGTCATGGCATGGGCATGAATGGCTGCCAATGGAACTGGTTCTCTTGCATTTATTGATGATGTGACTGCTGACAAAAGCAGCAGGATGAATTCTGAAGTGTTTCGGGCAATCTACTCACATTCAGCCAAATGCTGCAGAACTCAGTGGACGGCGTTTCACAGTGCAGATGGACAATGACCCAAAGCATACTGCAAAAGCAACCAAAGAGTTTTTGAAGGGACAGAAGTGGAATGTTATGCAATGGCCAAGTCAATCACCTGACCTGAATCCCATTGAGCATGCATTTCACTTGCTGAAGACAAAACTGAAGGGAAAATGCCCCAAGAACAAGCAGGGACTGAAGACAGTTGCAGTAGAGGCCTGGCAGAGCATCACCAGGGATGAAACCCAGCGTCTGGTGATGTCTATGCATTCCAGACTTCAGGCTGTGATTGACTGCAAAGGATTTGCAACCAAGTATTAAGAAGGGAAAGTTTGATTTATGATTATTATTCTGTCCCATTACCTTTGGTCCCTTAACAAGTGGGAGGCACATATGCAAACTGCTGAAAGTCCTACACCGTTCACCTGAGTTGGATGTACATACCCTCAAATTAAAGCTGACAGTCTGCAATTAAAGCACATTGTGTTTATTTCATTCCAACTCCATTGTGGTGGTGTATAGAGCCAAAGATGTTAGAATTGTGTCGATGTCCCAACATTTCTGGACCTGACTGTATATTGATCTGAGTGCTGATACTGGTGGAGAGGAGAACAGCCCAACCAAAGAATCTCTAAAACTGCCCCTACTCACACAGACAGACAAGTCACCAGAATATAAACTGACAGCAAAAAGCACTCCTTACTAGCACTGGTGAAGTTACCTAGTTAGGGTAATGAAACATCTGCAAGAAAACAAGCTCAGAGAGCACCAAGGACCACTCATTTCAACCCTGAGCTACACATATTCTCCTTTATTGGTACACAGCATTGTTTCTATTCATAGCACATATGAAAGTGTGGAATAAATAGGAAGTACTTTCAAAAGCATCAAGAAAGAGCGGATTATTTCCTGAGAAATACACTTTTACAGTATAGTGCTGAGATTCAGAGACTTAGGATGTTTCTATTGATGTTCTTTCTCCTTGCCAAACAGTTTTCCTTCCTACCCATAGATTGGTAAAATGTTCCATTCTGATCAGTTCTGTAGAACCATTTTTAATTATAAAATAATTTGAAAAGGGAGCTCTGTAGATGAGCATTCAGCCTCATTAATGGCAGTTGGCAAATGGAGACCATAGTCTTATGTCCTCCATGTTATCCCACTCTCCTAAAACAATTAAAATAGGTAAGAAAAGTTTACTTTTGCATGATGAAGATGTACAGTATTCACTTCAGAATGGTCCATATGATTTCTATACAGCAAAATCACTACTGAAGAGGAATGCAATTTTAAAAATTTATAATAATAAAGATTTGCAAAAAAAATTGGAGTCAAATTGTGTGACTCCAACTTAGCAAATGTATCATTTATATCACTAATAAGACAAGTGTTGTAGTACTGAAAAAAAAGAAGTATTGTCCCAAAGACTATTATTTTGCTTTGTATTTATTTTTAGTTTGTAAACCCTGGGGACATGGACTTGCCATTTCATTCTTTATAAAGTAAAACGTTTTCCCTAAATTGCGCAGGCAACTTTATAAACCAATTTGATAAACAGAATTATTCTAGTAAAGGTATGAAAAGTTTATTACAAAGAAGTTAATATGGTTGTAAAATGTGGAATGAATCTTATACGTGTAAGGCACAAAACAGAAAGATATGCTACCCATATTACAAATCTTACCTCTTCATTTTCAATTTTCAATGTTGTTAGTCGAGACTGAAGTTGCTGATATCGAAGCACAAGTTCTCCTTGAACTGGCTGTTGGGCACTGACTTGAGAAACCTGAAAAAAGCAGGAAAAACTGAGAAGTCATGTGAAAAGAGAAGAAAAAAGTGCACAGTTGTAATGGGCTCCTACAATTGCTGTGGTGGCACAGTGGTTAGAATGCAGTATTGCAGACTAATTCTGCTGATTGCCAGCAGTTCGATTCTCACAGGCTCAAGGTTGACTTAGCTTTCCATCCTTCTGAGGTTGGTAAAATGAGGATCCAGAGTGTTGGGGTTAATATGCTAACTCTGTAAACTGCTTAGAGAGGCCTGTAAAGCACTATGAAGTGGTATATAAGACTAAGTGCTATTGCTATGGCTACTTTGCATAATGGATCAAAAATTTAATCATCAAGACACAGAATAAAATATATGATGGTAATAATTTTCATTTAATTTAAAGTCTATAAGAATTTACATTAAATGAATATTCTTGGATATTCATTATGTGGATAATTAGATATGCACACATGTCATTATGGATATGAGAACATGAAAACTGCTGTAGGTGCTTACATATGAGACACTAAGAAAAAAAAACTATGGCATGGATGTCTGGGTGTTCTCAAACTGGTATTAATTATACAGTAGCCACAAACACCACAACTGAAACAGGTGGGCTGACTGAACTGCCAGAAGCTTGATTCTCAGAACTGCTTGAAACATGGCAACCCTCTGTAACGTATGATCAAAGATAAATAGAGGGAATTGCTCATTCTAGAATGCAGCTTAAACATCTACAAATAGAAAAAAATCATGTTTTTTGAATGATTAGTTTTGAATGATTGTGGAGCACTCTAAAGAAGTTTGAATAATATTGAAACATATAGAAGCAATTTTCCCCTTCCTTTACTTATTGGTTCAAACTACAGTTGATTCTCATTATTCATAGTTCTGCATGTGCATATTTGCAACATTTATTTGCAATTCCAAATCAATATTTTTGGTCATGCAGACTGGTGAAAATTTTTAATCACCTAATGTGCATGTTCTTAGCTGAGGTTTCAGTATTCACTAATTTAGTGTCTGAAATTTTTTTTACAGAACTGAACTACCACAAAAAATGAGAAATCTTTGTATTTGGCCAACTAACAAAAGATTACTAATCTTGTGGTACAGTTGAATAGATAATAGTGAATGGTTGATGTGGCCTGTGATATGCATAGACTATCTAATAAATTAAATTCTACACAAAATGTTAATGAGCAGTATTCTTGATATAATTTCCTTAGCCATATTGTAGTATCTCTAGAAACAATATCGCTCTTAGGCTACCAACTCTTTCCTCAGATGAATAAAAGATAGAAACTAACAAAAAGACATCACAATAAATATCTAGATGCAAACAAAAACATCGTTTAAATGTTATTCTTTTTGGAAATTTTAATTGATCTAAATAACAAATTGAGGTATTTGGGAGTTTATTGGCTGGTAAGGAGAAGAAGGAATCTTCTCTTTTTTGCTATTTTTTCAACTTTTATAGTCTAAGTGGAATAGGAGGATAGGAAGGTTGACATAGAGGCATGGTACCATATGAGAGATGGGATGGGGGAAGAATAAAGGTGATTTTTAAAGAGGAGAAGGTGAGAGGGAGGAGGCAAAAGAATATCATTGTTATATATGCTCTTCATAATATCAGGCAACTTTTCAATAGATTTTGTCGGGATACAGCTTTCAATAATTTTCTGCCTGCGAGATAATCTTAACTCCATAGAGAAATTACATAGAGACATTCAAAAAGATATAAACAATGGGGGAATACTGTAAAATTATTTCTTTACATGTTAAGAGATCTGGGAGATCCTATTAAGAGGAAAAGAATGTTAGTTATGTCAAACCATTTAAACCTCATGTGGCTATGTTATGCGTACAACAAATAGATTCAATATTAGTACAACATGAGCATGATTTAAAAAATCAAGTAAACTTTATTTAGAAATTAATAATTTATTAGCAAATTATATTAGAACTGGATTAGATACCCTGTTTCCCCCAAAATAAGACATCCCCTGATAATAAGCCCAATCGGGCTTTTGAGCACATGGCAATAAGGCCAAGCACTTATTTCAGGGTTCAAAAAAATATAAGACAGGGTCTTATTTTCGGGGAAACATGGTAGTATTTCAAACAAATTTGCTTCCAACAACCAAAAACAACGGGAAAAGCTGGAGTCACTTAATGATTCATGATTCACTTAACAAACATAACAAAAAAGGTTGTAAAATCAGGTACAACTCACTTAACAACCACCTTGCTTAACAACAGAAATTGTGATCCCAACTGTGTTCATTAAGATAATTTTGATCCTTAAACTGGATAAAGATTTGGGTTTAGCATTTTGTAAGCCCATTTCCTTTCTCAATAAAGATTATAAACTGCATAATATAACTGTTAAGTTAACTGATTAAAAAGTGATTATAGATAGTCCTCAATTTACGACACAATTGAGCCCAAAATTTATGTTCCTAAGTGAGAAATTTGTTAAGTGAGTTTTGCCCCATTTTTCGACTTTTCTTGCCACATTTGTTAAGCGAATCACTGCAGTTGTTAAATTAGTAACATGGTTCTTAAGTGAATCTGGGACCCCTATTGACTTTGCTTGTCAGAAAGTCGCAAAAGGGGATCACATGACTTTGTGATGTGATCACTGCAACCATCATAAATATGAGTCAGTTATCAAACATCTGAATGTAAATCACATGACCATGGGGATGCTGCCGCAATCGTTAGTATAGAAAAATGGTCATAAATCACTTTTTTCAGTGCCTTTGTAACTTGGAAAAGTCATTAAGCGAACTGTTGTAAATCAAGGACTACCTGTACATAAAAAAATTACTCATTCTAGCTCAATCTGGCTTTATTATAAACTGTTAACAAATTTTTATTAGCCATATGTTCCTTAGATATACTTAAAGCCTTTGAAACTCTAGAAATACAATGTTTAAAACAAATATTAATTCAATTTAATTTTGGGGATGGCTTTTGAAAAGCTAAGTTGAATCATAAGATGATTGAACATAGTTATGGACCAACTAAAGCCCTGATACTACTTAACAGTTATGATTAAGATCCTATCATGATTTTAAGAGGTAGTAAGCAAGGTGGTCCTTTATCACTTTTACTATTGAATTTAGCTACAGAAGTGCAGGCTATAGCACTTAGATCCAATAATCAGATTAACAGGATAAAAATGGAAGGTGAGACTTATCTTTTAAATCTATTTGCAGATGATATGAACTTGACTTTCTCAAATGCTTCTCATTCACCTAGCTATATTAAAGAGTTAGAGGTATTTGCAGAGGTGTCAGGAATATCAGTTAATTTTCATAAATCACATTTGATATTTTTTATATATTCTAAAAAGCTGAAAAGGAAATTTTCACTTTTAGGAATTCCAATAGTATATTATTATTGCTAAAATATTAATAAAATATTTACAAATAATTATGTACCAACAAAGCTAAACAAAGAATGAAAACCGGACTTTAAAATATTTCAATATTTAGGGCAAATTGCAGTGATAAATATGAAAATTATTGCATGGCTTAATTTTTTTATTTTATTGGTGAAAAGAAAAGAAAAGAAAAGAAAAGGAAAGAAACTTTTGTTTTCATTGACAAAACTGAGAGCAAATAAAAGGATTTTATGTAGACCTCAGAAATGGGAGCTGGCTGGGGCATGTCCAACTTGTTAAAACATTATAAAGCACCAGAGTTAAGGCATAGGATTATTATTAAGAATGTACTTTGCTGGACATGTGCTCCAAATGAGTGAGCAACGTCCACCAAAGACCACAATCAATTGGATACCATCATATGGTTGGAGAAAAAGAGGAAGATCAAAGCAAACCTGGAGCCAAACATTTCAAAAAGATCTAAAAAACATTAATCTTAAATGGAAGGTTGCAGAGACTGTAGCTGTAGACCAAAAGCTGTGGAGTATGCTTGTAGTTCAATGTGCTCAGCACAGGATATGATAATATTTAGAAAAAGCAAAAGGAATAATTTAAAAAATGTATAGGTTATCTTGGCAATCAGAAATAGGAGATCCACCAATATGGTTTAAAGGAAGCTTGGGATACTGATCTTGGGAATCCCCTAAAGAAGACAAATTTGCAGAAGTTATGGAAACTGTGTGGATTCACTTCAGCTTCAATGCAAGAATTGCAGTAGAAGATTACATATCATTAATATTTGATTTTTGTTAGATCTGATTTCTGGTACATATATATCAAAATTATTCTTCCGTACATTGGAGAGGTTGCCAAAAAAAGGGGTTATTTTTTCATTTGTGGTGGAATGGGATAAAGTCATAATCTCTGGGCATAAAATATTTGAGGAAATAATTACTATCACTAATGGAATGTTCCCCAGAGCTAGGTTTACTGGACTTATTTACAAGACCAAACTATAAGGTTCAAAATAAAGAAATTTATTTATTTAATCTTAGCAACCAAAATTAAAATTGTGCAATTGTGACAAGTGATCTGTAGGCTTCAACACATTGAAAGCTGCTGGTACTTTGTGAGGCTTTGCCAGAAGAAAGCTAGGCCAAGAGTGAGTAGAGTGATATGTGGTAGTCTGTGGGCACCCAAAAGACAGAGATGGGAGAAAATAGGCAGCTGAAGCACCCTGTGGTCATAAGTGTGGACGGATTCTCAAGGTTCAAATTTTGATTGTGTGACTGTGGGGTCAGTGCGACCACTATAGCTTTGGGGAACAATCGTAAGTCCATTTTTTCAGCACAGTTGTAAGTTCAAACAGTTGCTGAATGGATGGTCATAAATTGAGGATTGCCTTTTGACAAGATATGGTTTTAGAAATTTTTTTGGAGTTATATAACAGGAAAATAAGGAAATGGACATTATGTATTCTTACTACTATAAAATAGAAGGCTTTACAAGGATGGAATGATATCCATTCTCTATAAATTATACACTGCTTGAAGAATTTACTTCTCCTTCCAAACATGATAAATTTTCTATTATAGGAAGTCTTGAGTGTGGGACTATTTAAACATTTGGTCAACAATTACTGACCTCATCACCCATATGGGGCTGAAACTCAAATTTCATTGGAGGACAGAAGGCTGTAGGATACATTTCCATGAATCTCTGCTTGTCACTTCGAGGCTCCAGATTGTCAACAGCATTTTCAATGATGTCCAAGCCCTCATGTCGTGAAGTTTCAAGGTTATATTCTGCAGAGAGATATGTTCTTAAGGCTCTGTTCAGGCTTGCATGGTATCCAAGATCGCAACACTAACAGAATATCCAAAAGAAGAAAATACATTTAGAAATAAAAATCAAATTTCAATGGAATAGCCTAAAGCAACAGCTACCATATTGACATATAATAAATCTTTGTAGTTTATTTACTAATCAATAGGCTATGTTATTAAATATCTTAATTAAAAGACCTATATAATAATTACAATTAATTATTGGATAAGGAAGAACTGTAATGGAAACTAAGTTACTAAAGCTATGCTTCTCACAATACTTTCATGATAAATTATCATGATAAATTGTCATATTGATCTTAATAGATATCACTCGATCACTTGTATGCAGATAATGGTGAGATTTAAAGAAATGTCACTTAATCTAACATTATTACATTGACTGTCTGTAGACATATCAATTAATAATAGTATGGTGACTTTCAGAAATCTAATCCAATATAGATAGAAAATATTATTATTGTTCTGATAATATTTTGACATCTAATTGGCAGGCTTAGCAGACATAGGTTCAAAACATTGCCATAAGATTTGTGCAGAGTTTGAAATTATATTTTACATATTTCAAGTAAAAGTTTAAACTAGCAAAATAAATCTCTAAGTTACTTTGTGTATTTCAGTTGTCTTCTAAACACATTCATTAATTGGATTGTTTTCTGAAAAGATTTCCCAGCTTTTGAAATAAGGACCAGTTACATAATGCTATTTCAAATAAACATTAATTATGTTTTAAGTGTACCTTAAAATGTTAAGTGTTGATAGTCTGGCTCCCAAATAAGAGCACATCTGATGGCAAAACTCAATTTATATTATATGGCATTTGAAACGTATTACTGCATCTTAAGCAGGGTGATAAAGTATTAATGAAATATGTATATTTAGAAATAGGGAAATAAGTGTGGAAATCAGAGCAATCTAGAACTTAAGCAATAAACTTAAATCTTGGAATTTGAAAAGGATATCTAAGAAGCTATGCAAATGACTACTTACTAATTTAAATGGATTTATCTATATCACTCCATCTGTAATTAGTTAGCAATGTTAAAATTTACTTAAGAAATACTCATGATCAAGAAGTAAACAATACTTCAATCAAAGAATGTCAAACAAGTTCACAGTAAACAGCCCAACCAAAGAACCACCATGACCATTCCAACCAACACTGACAAGCCTCTAGAATATAAAATGAAAGCAAACCCCACTCTTTACTTGCACTGATGATGTTACCTACTTTGGTAATGAAACTGCAAGAAAACAACTAAGCTCAGAGAGCACCAAAGACCCCCCATTTAAATCGTGAGCTACAAATATTCTCCTCTATGGAAGTATTTTCATAATAAACATGTTTCTTACTCAGATGAGTAGCAATAGCAATAGCATTTAAGACTTATATACCGCTTTACAGCCCTCTCTAAGTAGTTTTACAGAGTCAGCATATTGCCTCCAACAATTTTCCAGCTCATTTTACCCACCTCGGAAGGATGACAGTCTGGTGAGATTTGAACTGCCAAATTGCAGACAGATGGCAGTCAGCAGAAGTAACTGCAGTACTGCACCATAACTACTGCACCACCATGGCTCATATACTAGTAGTAGTCCTAGTATTTAGTCTGGGAACATGCAGTTGAGTAGGAGTAGGCCTATACTGTTGTATGTTTTCCATATATTTCCCTATACTTCAGTAGAACAAAAGGTGACACTAAATAAAACAACCCTTTTATAACTGTGTTTAACATAACACTAATCATACCATTTTAAAGAATAAAAAGCAGACCCAGAATTCTAAACATGATCCAGTAGCATAAGAATTTCAGGAATACCAATTACTTACATCAATCAGGTCTGAAAGGTCATGAATATAATATTTGAAAACAGAAGCATTTGTTGCTTCAAGGGTAAGCAGATATTCATTTCTGGCTTTAACAGATTTCAGTTTGTTTTCAGAGTATTTTGCCTGACGCTGAGAATAGAAATAATATAAATATATATTAACACATGTGCAAAATTATAAATTTATGACACTATTTTACAAAATAACAAAATGCATATTCACTATGTGTAAATAATGACATTCTTTTCTTAAGAAATATATATAGTTATATGGAAATCTTACTGGAGGATTATTTGTTTTTATTGTTTGTTTTTATTGTTTTTATCCCTGGGATTTGACACACCTGGAGATTGGTCTAAGATAAGTTGATCTATTGGATCAACTTGATTGACATTGTTTCAACTTTCCTCTTGCTACAAAACTGCTATACGACACAGATCATGGAATGTTGCAACGAACTGAATAAAGTTGTTTCCAAAACCAGAGAGACAATGTTTTAATTGATATGAAAAATGGCTATGTGACCTGCCATATTCTGTAACTACAGAAAGCCATATTGACCAATGGGAGTCCTGATTCACTAGCCACAGCATTCAATAGTGAAGGAAAAATAAGGATTTCCTCCAACAGGGGAAAAAAAACTTTGCAGGGATGAAATAGAGAAGGTAGCAAAGCCCATTACTCTGTTGATAACGTTTGTGGGTTTGTAATAACACACTGGTACATTTAGTTTTAGATTTCAATTTCTAACATTGCTCTTACAAAAGGTTTTAGTTGCTTTAAGTGTAGAAATACAACCACAACCCTGAAGACACCAATGAAACATCAGCTTCCCCATTTCTACAGGAAAGGACCACTCATGTGAGTATGACACTATTTTATCTCCAGCCCAAATTACTCAGTCTAATACAAAACTAGAATAGAACAGAATAAAATTCTTTATTGGCCAGGTATGATGGGACACACAAGGAATTTGTCTTGGTGCATATGCTCTCAGTGTACATAAAAAAAAAGATATGTTCATCAAGAATCATAAGGTACAACACTTAATTATAGTCATAGGGAACAAATAAGCAATCAAATCATATTAGGAAACAGTCAATATAAATATAAAACTACGACCAAAGTGTAAATGAATTTTGGAATTACTATCAAACAATTAAGGCAAACTGATTCTTACTTTTTCCTTCATTTTTTCAATTTTTTTCACTGAACTCCGTCTTTGATGTCTTTCCTCCAATCGAATGTGAAAAACAGGATCTCCTGATCTGCCAATTTGTTTTTCTTCTTGCTTTTCAGCCTCTTTCAATTTACTTTCTGCACTGATGCTCTCAGTATGATACATATGGTATGTTTTCATAACCTGGGTCCAAGAGAGTTAAAAGTTAAAGGAAAGATAGAAAATGAATAAAACTGCATTATACACTATTTTAAATTATTGCATTGTCTGTTCTGGGGCTCAGGACAGGTTATAAGGGTGTCTGAGTTATATTGTAAAATCTATAATTGGAAAAAACTATATAATTTAAAAAAGTATATAATTAAAAGTGTTTTACTTGTTTAATTTAATTCTACAGCACCGTACTTTGCCTAAGGATTTAAAGTTTAATATATAATTATTTTCATAAAGCATTTTTAATTTCAGGAATTTTAGGAAGACTAACATCAGCTATTAGGAAGGTAGACTCTTAAAAGAAAGAAGTGTCAAGTATAAAGTATGCAACCATGTACCAAAGATATTTATTTAATGATTTAAAATGTTTACAATGACTCATTTGCCATGCAAATCTAGATACTTTACAATAAATATGCAAATTTGATCATTTTCAGATTTAATATCTATACAACCATAATTAATTATTTCTACGTTCTTATTCCCATTCCAAAAGCCACACTTTTAACTGTATGCTGTAAAGAGACTTATAATATCTGTTCTGTTTATTCCATATGTACAATTAACAGGTAGTCCTCAACTTACAACCACAATTGAGCCCCACCTTTATGTTAAGTGAGAAATTTGTTAAGTGAGTTTTGCCCCATTTTATCACTTTTCTTGCTACATTTATTAAGCGAATCACTGCAATTGTTAAATTAGTAACACAGTTGCTACATGAATCTTGTTCCCCCATTGACTTTGCTTGTCAGAAGGTCGCAAAAAGGGATCATATAACTCCAGGACACTGCAACTGTCATAAACACGACAATTTTTATGTTTATGTTTTATGTTTATTGGTTGTCAAGCATGCAAATGTAAATCACGTGACCATGGGGATGCTATAACGGTCATAAAGGGTGAAAAATGGTCATAAGTCACTTTTTTCAGTGCTGTTGTAACTTTGAATGGTCACTAAATGTACTGTTGTAAGTCGAGGACTATCTGTATATTACTTCTAAAAGCATCTGAAAGATAGTTTAGTATTTTGTATGGTGCATCACTTCAGGTAATAGAAGTTCTGTTAATATCCCCAAAAATTATATTCGTATTTTTTTTTCAAAAATCACCCTAGTGAAAGGATATGGAGGTGAAACACATCAGGTCTGTCATCTGCAACTGTCCTGTACTACAGAAAGTCTCAACCTATGGCCACTTGCTTAACAATGAATTAACAATGGCCTCTGAAAAAGTCAGTTATAACCTAAGTTTGAACTTATAACTGTTGCCCTTCCCTCATAGTGACATGAATGCAATGTGGGCACTTGGCAACTGACTCACATTTACAACCAGTTGCAGAAGCTTACTGTCACATGATCATGATTTGTCAAGACTGCATAACTTAACTTACCTGACTCAATTTATGAACACAATAAAAATGTTTATAAAATTGGATCTGGTCATGTGATGACTTGATTTATGACCACTACAATGGAAATCCTAATCCCAGTCCCAGTTGTGATCATAAATTAAGGACTACATGTATTGGGGAATATCAGTAGAAATTCTAGGCACCCCACTCCCTGGTCAACTAACATACAAAACGTTCAACCATAGAGAACGAGGGGAAAAAGAAAAAAAAAACAATGTTAATATTTCATGTTCACCCAGAAAAAAAGTGCAACTGTTTAAGAATCACATTAAATTTAATGAATCCTTAAGGTAGCTGCACTTTTTTTAAGGCATGGGCTCAATGTAACGTCTAAAGCAGTTCTTCTAAATTATTATTTAAACAACATGTTTTAAAGTAATATTATTATGCCTTAGCAAGTGGTAGAACTTTCCTTCCACCTTTCCCAGCCATAGAACTTTCTCTTGGGAGCTACTATAGATTTTCACATAATAAGATAATTTAAGCCTGGTTATTTGTGCCTTGAGAGAAGATTCCAGGTTGATTAGTTTGATGATCTTTTTTTTCTTTTTGCTTTCTTGGCTGTCTGTGGTATTCTTAGGAGTCTTCTCCAATACCAAAATTCAAAAACATCAATATTCTTCCTTTCCTGCTTCTTCAAAGTTCAACATTTGCTTTCCAAGAGCATCTCATAGTTTCATAGTAGCTTTCATGATTCCGAAGTGTGTATGTATAGACACATCAGAGCATCTGAGTATCTTTTCCAAAGACTTCATGGTTCTCTACCAAGTCCTAGTCTGTGGCATATTTCTTAACTGTTTGTTCCTTTATTGTTAATGGTTCATCCTAAAAGGAAGGAACTATTCACCCAACCTATTTACAGAATGCTAATGATATAATGCAACTTTCCCAAACTTGGTATCCGCTGGATGTGCTAGAATTTCAACTATCAGAACTTCTAGTGAGGAATTCATCCTAAACAACAGAAGCTATCCATCACTTATACAGCTCTGTGATAACAGTCTGGCAATGATACTTTTGAGGAAGAATGTGTGGACTCTCAGATTCATGAAACCGTATCAATTGATTCCTGATTTGATTTATAAACATAGTTTCCAAATGAAAACCCCAATCCATATTACATTCATACTCAGATTCTGTAGAGATTCTCAGTCATCCAGGTCATGGTTGTTTCAAAGGTGCTTTTTCAGGAGGCAACTGTACTTACTTGTTTTTTCTTTTGAGAAGCGAAATGTCTTCAAAAGAACTCAGATTGTTAATTCATTGCACTTTTGCTTGAGCAATACAGATTTTTTTCCCACCTTAAAGCATTAGAATTGAAGTTTGGGCAGTAGCATTTTATTATATATTTTCTTTTATTCAAATAATAAATACAGTTGGTGTATTTGCTCTATTTGGTCACTAACCAAACTAATCTCTCTCTCTCTCTTTCCCCAGTGGAAAATTTACAGCATAAATTTACAGCAATACTGCTGTTTAAGGATGACAGCAATGCCAAGCCCATTCCAGTTTGTAATAGACATACTTAGTGGTATGAGATCAGTATATTGCATTGACCGGAGACACAATTTTCTTAACTTAAACTTAGTACTTCCTCTATTTTTATGCTGCTCTGAACGTAGTTCCTTTTAGTTTCAACTACCGGTACTACATTGTACCTACAAACTACAAATGCCTCACCAAATTTATTATATTTAGCAATAAGGAAAACAAAACATTGAAATGGAGGATCATTTTAGATTTGTAGAGTTTTTAGTTATGGAGGCAGTCCATCCCAAGATGCTGTTGAAATCAAAGAAGTAGATGGGAAGTGGAATCCACTTCACTGTAAGAAACAAAAGCAAATAGCTCAAAATAGAGAAACCATCACTGGCTTCATTTAAAAATGAAAGAAGGGAAAAGTGGGGAAATTAATAATTTCAATTAATGTGGCAAGGGAAGCATGTAGAGAATAGCTTCTGAAGTCTGTCCAACCCTTAAAAAAAGCAACTGAAAGTAGCTCCATCTTTGATTACATGACCAAGAGACAAAGGGAGTGAGGTTTAAGAATAGAGCAGTTGTCCAACTGCATCTCCTCCAGCAATGCACTAAGAAAATTTATTCTGCCTTTTTTTCCTTGCAGCTTCTTGCCAGAACCAGCCATTTTCAAATTCAATATTTATTTTGTTGGCTTCTCCCACCATACCAAATTTGATCACATTCTGTTCTGTTTTTGGAATATTATTCTGCTGTTTGGCATATGGTCAGATAGACAGTCGTGAGCCTTTTACATAATTTGTTTCTAGTATTTCATAGAGTTTGAAGAAATAATAAAAGCAGTTAGTCTTAAGCTCAGTTAGATACAGATTGTCTTTGGAGTCCAAATCAACCATCTTATTTGTTTAGATATCATCAGATTAATATTATTCTAAAACGGGTTGACTCAACTGAAACATTTAAAATTATGTAAAAGAGGATTTTCAGTCAACAATTCTTTCCTTCAAACCAAATCAATACGCTTACCGTGTAAAGCTCATTAAGAACCCTCATTAAATCCTCATGAAGCTGGAATGCAATTTCTTTGCTCTGTAATTAAAAAGGAATTATTAGGAAAAGAAACGTAAAACTACCATTGAGCAAAAACTAGATGAAGTATTTTTTACACTAAACATATTCTTCCATTTTTTGTTCTGCCTTATGAACAGCAGAAATTTATGTCCATGTGACAGGTGTCAGAAAACAAAACACATTGCATGACTCTTGTGAAGGCAATTAAGCAATATCAATTTTACTACTCTGTGACAATTAAATCAGCCATAACATAGAAAAATAGTGTTGACAGGTTCCATTCATAACAGGGTTTTCTTTCTTCTCCCTGACATTTATTCATAGAAAGGATGTTGGTCGTACTACATATTTGCAAATTAGCCAACTGAATAATTATTGTAGCCACTCCATTGGCAACTGATTGCTTACCAGGTTTTCTCAGCTACTTTAAAGCTAGAACTCCTGTGACTCCAATGATTAAGTTTCTGCAAGAGTTAGAATGGATGTTTTACGCTAATTGTAAACCCACTGCACTTTTACTGAAAAAAATAGGTTCTGCTTTGTTAGATCCAAACTAAAGCTATTCAGTTTAGCATTCTTTGCAAGTGAGTAGTTAATTAGAAAGCAACAAGTGAACCCAACATCCTCCACTGGCCATTCTGGTTGACAATTATGGGATCTGTAGTTCAACGTCCAGAAACCACAATTTTTTAACCCTTTTGTATGCAATTAGAACTGCCAATTTTCAAAGACATATTAATTTATTATAAATAGGCAGTTAATGTTCATGAGTTTGTTAATACGTTAAATAACTGCATTTATTTTAAAAATACAACAAGCAACCAGCTTTTAAAAAAGATTTAAAATTGTTTTAAAAGGAGTCAACAGATGATATGTTTGATAACACAGTGATATCCTGGGGAAAATCCAGAGTTTTTTGGGGGCAGGGAGAAGATTGTATATTCTTATGTTATATTTAGGGGATGCGATGGCTCAGTGGCTAAGATGCTGAGCTTGTCGATCAGCAGGTCAGTAGTTCAAATCCTAGCGCTGCGTAACAGGATGAGCTCCCGTTACTTATCCCAGCTTCTGCCAATCTAGCAGTTCGAAAGCATGTAAAAAATGCAAGTAGAAAAATAGGGACCACTTTGGTGGGAAGGTAACAGTGCTTTGTGCACCTTCAGTGTTGTGTCATGCCAGCCACATGATCATGGAGACATCTTTGGACAGCGCTGGCTCTTCGGCTTAGAAACGGAGATGAGCACCGGCCCTAGAGCTGGAAACGACTAGCACATGTGGGGGAAACTTTACCTTTACCTTATGTTAGATTTATTCTTTTACTGTTTTAATCTTTTACAATATTGGTTTGTTGTATTGTAAGCTGCCCAGAGTTGCATGGCAGTGAGATGGACAGCATATAAATTAAATAAGAAATAAATAAAAATAATTTTGTTCATTTTCCAAGAATTCACAATATTTTGCTTCATTTGGCAACACAAACTGTGACTAATATCAGGCCGGGGTGAAATCTAGCAGGTTCTGACAGGTTCTGGAGAACTGGTAGTAGAAATTTTGAGTAGTTCGGAGAACTGGTAGCGGAAATTTTGAGTAGTTCAGAGAACCGGCAAATGCCACTTCTGGCTGGCCCTAGAGTGGGGTGGGAATAGATTATGCAGTATCCTTCCCTTGCCACGCCCACCAAGCCACACCCACCAAGCAATACCATGCCCACCAAGCTATGCCCACAGAACCGGTAGTAAAAAAATTTGAATTTCACCACTGTATCAGGCATTAGCATACATATAGAAATCGCTTACTTTGCATTTTTGCTTATATCTGGAATCAGATTACATTGTTTTCTCATCTCTTTTGTGCTGCTAAATCTTTCTGTTTTTCTTCTGTCTGACAATACCATCTTGCTCACCACATTTCTTATATCTTTTACCCTCAACATTTCTGGGTATTTCTAACTGGCAATATTGTTTACATTCTTAAAGTCCTTAAATAGCTAAAATGTTTATTTAACTAACAAAAGTCCAATACAATGGAGAAGAATAATACAATGGTTGAATATCTAGTAAAAACAGTCATGCCATTGGAAAAAATTGACTAGTATAAATTGACTGCTTCAAATACAGATAAAAATATTTTAAGTGAATTGCTACAGTAAATGGAACTTTAAAGGGTCATAGAATTGGAAGATTTGTTTAATCTAAAAAATGAGTATTTGTTGAAATGAATAAGTAATACTTATAAATGTAACTTGGGGGCTTTACCTTGTCCAGTTGTTGGGAGTGGTAGGTGCAGGTTAAGTCCATTCAACATGCATCAAAATGGAACTTATTTCACTAACTATTGCTTGTGGACATCCAAAGGATATCTATCTTTCTTTCTTTCTTTCTTTCTTTCTTTCTTTCTTTCTTTCTTTCCTTTTTCTCTTTCTTTCTCTTTCTTCTTCTTCTCCTCCTCCTCCCCCTCCTTATCCTTTTTTTTTTTTTTTTTTGCAAATTTTCCCTAATTTTCAAGGAAAAAATTCTTGGACCCAGGAGCTTCAAACACTTTTCCAATAAAAGCACAGATTTCTACACTGTACTTAAGAGTGCAATGCCATATTTATGTTTATGTCTCTCTGAAGTTCTTTCTATGGGTTCTAATAACCCAAAGGGGACAATATGGTTTTAAAAAATAAGTGACCTTTGAAATGATCTAATATCTACTTGACATTTATGCTGAAAAGCAAATGTCAGCACTTCTACTTAATTGAATCCTATAGCCACTGCGCACCTCACAGCTCTTCTAGAAGACTGAAAATTGAAGAACTGCGCCTTTCTCTGATCATAATCAGAGAGCAGAGACAGATTTAACCAAATTGTGTGTATGTGTGTTGTAAAAGAAAAAAGTTTATTACTGACACAGAATTAATAGAGCAATAAAGGTAAACATCTTAATTGAAGAAAGAAGATATTCTAATTAAATTAAATGTGGAGGGCTTACATAGCTCTTTTTCCCCCTACCAAGCAAAATTAGATTTCTTAACAGGAAAATAGGCAATATTAAGTGTATACCAAAAGCTATTAGCAAAGCGACATTTTAAATTTATTTAGAACATCTTTACTATTCCACTGAGTACAATGAAGTTTTCTCCCAAATAAATATCGAATAGAATAGAATAGAATAACAGAGTTGGAAGGGACCTTGGAGGTCTTCTAGTCCAATCCCCCACTTAGGCAGAAAACCCTACACCACTTCAGACAAATGGTTATCCAACATTTCTTAAAAACTTCCAATGTTGGAGCATTCACAACTTCTGGAGGTAAGTTGTTCCACTGATTAATTGTTCTAACTGTCAGGAAATTTCTCCTTAGTTCTAAGCTGCTTCTCTCCTGGATTAGTTTCCATCCATTGCTTCTTGTCCTACCCTCAGGTGCTTTGGAGAGTAGCTTGACTCCCTCTTCTTTGTGGCAGCCGCTGAGATATTGGAACATTGCTATTATGTCTCCCCTAGTCCTTTTTTTCATTAAACTAGACATCCCAGTTCCTGCAACCGTTCTTCATATGTTTTAGCCTCCAGTCCCCTAATCATCTTTTTTTGCTCTTCTCTGCACTCTTTCTAGAGTCTCAACATCTTTTTTACATTGTAGCGACCAAAACTGAATACAGTATTCCAAGTGTGGCCTTACCAAGGCATTATAAAGTGGTATTAACACTTCACGTGATCTTGATTCTATCTCTCTGTTTATGCAGCCTAGAATTGTGTTGGCTTTTTTGGCAGCTGCTGCACACTGCTGGCTCATATTGAAATGGTTGTCCATTAGGTTGTCCAAAATCCCTCTCACAGTTACTACTATTGAGCAAGGTACCACATATACGTACCTGCACATTTGGTTTTTGCCTAAATGTAGAAAGTTTTTTTTTCACCATTGAATTTCATTTTGTTAGATAGTGCCCAATGTTCAGTCTGTCAAGTTCCTTCTGTATCTTAAGCCTATCTTCTGGAATGTTGGCTATTCCTGCCAGCTTGTGTCATCTGAAATTTGATCCCCATCTATCCCCTCATCCAAGTCATTGATGAAGATGTTGAAGAGTACTGGGCCTAAAACAGAACCTTGGGGTACTCCACTGCATACTTCCCTCCATATAGATGCAGTTCCATTGATGTCTAAATGTTGAGTGCGGTTGGTCAGCCAGTTATGAATCCATCTGGTGGTGATGCTGTCTAACCCACATTTTTCTACTTTATCCAGTAGTAGGTTATGGTCTACTTTATAAAATGCCTTAGTGAAGTCCAAGTAAATTATAACAGTATTCCTCTGGTCCACCAATTTTGTCACTTTGTCAAAGAATGCAATAAGATTAGTCTGGCATGATCTGTTTTTGACAAACCCATGTTGGCTTTTGGTTATTACTTTGTTTGCTTCTAGGTGTTTGCTGATTTGTTGCTTGATTATCTTTTCCAGAATCTTCCCTGGAATTGTGATCAGGTTGATAGATCTGTAGTTTCCTGGATCTATTTTTTTTTCCTTTTTGAAGATGGGAACTACATCAGCTCTTTTCCAGTCCTCTGGCAGTTCCCCGGAACTCCAGGATCTTTGAAAGATATAGTTCAGTGGTTCTGAGATCTCGTCTGCCAGTTCCTTCAGAACCTCGGGGTGTAATCCATCCAGTCCTGGTGATTTGAACTTGTCTAGGGTAGACAAGTTTCACTTACCATTTAATCCCCTATTTTAACTTGTGTTCCTAATCTGCTTTTTGTGGTGTTGCTTTTGATAGGTTGGACTGTTTTTTCCCTTTATGTAAAGACAGATGCAACAAATGAGTTAAGTAGTTCTGCTTTCTCCCTATTGCTTGTCACCTTCTTGCTACTTTCTCCCAGCAATGGACCAATTGTTTCCTTGACTTTTTTATTATTTTTAACATGTAAGAAGGTTATTTTTTTGTTATTTTTTACTTTTGTCGCAAGCCTTTGTTCATTGTGAGCCTTAGCTTTCCTCACTTCATCTTTACAGGCGCGGGCTATTTGCTGATATTCTGCCTTAGTTGTTTGCCCCTCTTTCCACTTTTTATACTTGTCCTTTTTGTCTTTCAATTTATCAGAGAATTCTTTATGCAGCCATGCTGGTTTCTTTTGAGAGCTGTTATTTTTCTTCTTCATTGGTATTGTGCTAGACTGGGCTTTTATAATCTCACTTTTCAAAATTTCTCAAGCTTCTTGAATTGTTTTCCCCTTTTAGGATTCTCATCTATGGAATCCTTCCCAAGCTCTCTCTAAGTTTATTGAAATTAGATCTCTTAGAGTCCAAGACTTTGTTCTACTACTTGTGCTTGCATAATGTTGAATTCCAATATTGCCTGATCCTTGCCTCCAAGGTTCCTGTAGCTTCAACATATAGATACAATTGCCACCCAAAATGTTAATTTGTTGTTACTTTGCCCTGATGGGTATCTAAAAGTTCTTAGTAACCATCTGAAACCCCTGAGAAGGAAACACAGCCCAGGTTACATAAATTTGGATTTAATTATTTAATATCAAATCATAGTGTGGGAAACATCCTTAAATGTGATCCAACCACCTACTCAGTGCAGGATCCATTAGTGATCTTTAGGAGATGGCCATTCAGCTTTTGTCTGAGGACTTCTATTATTGGAGAACTCAACACTTCCATTTCTTTAATATTTCTGTAAAGTCAGGAAATTTCTCATACTGAACCTACATACATCTCTGTAGCTTTAATCTGGTCCTTCTCAGTATAAAAAATAAGATCACTCTGTGTTTCAACTCTACAGATATTTAAAGATTTCTACCATATGTCCCCTTAGTTATCTCTTCCATAGGCTAAGGTAAGTGGTACATAACTGAACATAAAGTACAATAGATATTTAGAGATAATTTATCTGACAGGGCAAAGGCTGCAAAACCCTGTGAAAATACTCAATGCTTATTCTTCCATGTACCTCTAAAACAGAAAGCAAAAATATCTTTAAAAATTAGATTCTGGTTAAAATATTTATGAGCATGCCATCATCTCAAAATGTTTCCTTAGCTGGAAGTGAACACAAATTATTATAAAACTTTATAGAATTTGTCAAAATTCTATAAGCTTACAGTTTATTTGCTATAATTAAAGTACAGAATTTCAGATCATCACCACATTCCTAATTTACACAAACTCAATCCCTGATGTGATTTTATAATCTCTGTTGTTTTATCCTCAAGAATTTTGTAAAGAATTTACAAAGTTCATTGCAGTTTTTTTAAGGTGGAGTTTTTAGCAAGCTTGATAATAGTTTTCTTTTTCATTAAAAATGTAACTTCTCCCAAGTATTGAAAAAATAATAGAATTATCTTGTATATTGGCTTAGATTTGATATCCATAGACCAGGGGTGTCAAACTCGATTTCATTGAGGGCCGCATCAGGATTGTGCTTGACCTTTGGGGGGCCAGGGTGGGTGTGGCCAGCTCAATGTCACTCGTATCGGGGGCGCCTGTGGTAGCCCGAGAAGTCTGCCAGCAAAAACTGGTCCCAAGCTCCGTTTTTGGATTGGAAGGCCTCCTGCAACCGTCTGCCAGCGAAAACAAAAGCTCGGGAGGGCTGTACGCAAACCTCCCAAGCTCTGTTTTCTCTGGCAGAGGCACTGCAGGCTAATCCTTTGCTGTTTCCAGGTTGGCTCCACGGGCCAGATCTAAGCATCCCGTGGGCCGGATCTAGGCCCTGGGCCTTGAGTTTGACACCCCTGCCATAGACTATCTTCCCTTTGTTGAAGATAACACAATATACTTAACCATATAGTATTTAGCTTTTCTGCACTTAAAATTGTATATTCTTGTCACTTTCAACAAAAAAGCCTCTTCTCCATATTAATAGTGAAAAATGTCATAATGAAGTCAATTACTAATTTCCTGCAGAGTATTTGGTTTCAAATTATGTCTTTTAGATAGTTCTATTTCATTGGAAATGAGAAAAACAACATTGTTATACCTTCTTGAACACTCTGGTGGAATCTTCACTTATCTGCATAAAACGCATGATGACATTGTTCAGGTAGATATCGCTCAGTGTTGCATGGTCTTTGCTTTCTCTTCTTACTTGGTTGAGTAGTAAATACCAACAATTTACTGGAGATAGCAGATTCTGGTCTTTCCTAGTAAGCATACACATGTTATATAGTTTATATCAGTTGCAGGTACCATTGTCTTTTATTTATTTTAATTAAAATATTTGCAGCCATTAAACTATATAAATATATTAACAAACCAGCATTTTCAAGGTTGTATTTATGTGTAAATTATATCTTAACATTCATTAAGCACCCTTTCAATGCTGAAAATCAGCATTCTGAAATAACAGTAAAGCCTTCCAGGGCGTATTTAAGGACAGTTGAGATTTTAAACTTTTTAAAAGGCTATAGGTTTGCAATCAGACTTAAGTTTACATTTTTAAAAATAAAGTCATAAATAAATATGTGCCATTTTAAAAGGTAACATATATTTATTTATCCTGTAAATCTGCTTTTATCAGTAGCACTCATATCTATGCAGGAAGTCAACAAACAATAGTGAATAAGGCCCTGTCCAGATGGTCTGCTTTAGTGTTTACAGTTTAGAGCTGTAGCTTGAAATGTAGGATATAATTCAAGGACAGGACATCCAATGGTCCCTTGTGGGAAGCTAGTCATAAAACTGGAAAAGCTACTCTCTAGGTGGCACAAAAAGTGAAACAGGCAGAGGCATTCTGGTTTTACACTCAGTAATGTCTGGAGGAAAAAGATGATTCCATGTTAATCTTTATAACTTTACATAATGATATAACTACTTCAACAACAATTCAAATTTTGCTGTTGTTTTATAGTTGGCACAAAGGCACTGTAAATTTTGGAGTTGGGTATCCAACAAATTTAAAACATAGAATATTGCTTCATTTCTCCACCTCTAAAATGTTTATTTCCTCCTGGAGAAAATTCATTTATGTGGTCACTAAGCATAAACAATAACACTGATAATCAATAATGGATATTACATAGTACAAAATACAGAATATTCCAAGATTTGTAAGGGAGGGAAATAGTTGAAACCACCAAATTCTCAAGTGATTGTGCACATTAAAAATCAAAATGCAAAAGGATAAATATTGCTATTTTAATAAACAATATTGAAATTAAATAAATATGCAACTCTCAAATGAAAAATATTTACAAATGAAACAAATGAATTGTATTCAGATTCATAGTATTAGTCCAATATAACCTGATCTAGTCTAGGAACAAATCACATATCTGGATAATCTGCCTAGGAAATACTGCTTTCACATACTTTGGTATCCTTGTTAGGTCTATAGTACAGTATTAATAACCAGATTATGAGACCAAAATAAGATGATTTGTTTCACACCATAATTTAGAAGTCATCCTTAGATCATAGTTCAAATTTCATGGAGAATATCTATTTTTTAAAAGGTTAGGATGTCTTTAGAAAAATTGGCTGAGTGCACGAAGCACATAAGATCAATTCTAGTCCAAGAAACCATGGTTGACTGCACAGCAATTCTGAAAATTAATTTAGCCTTCAATTGTATAAGGAATCTCAGCTTACTTGTACTGTTGATGATCTTTAGTACTTCTTGTTTTTGCCATGAATCTTTCAGCTAACTTTTCAAGACTGCGTGAATATTCCGTTTCTATTTCTGCCTTTTTACGAAAGAAGTCTTGCAAGTCTTGAAGAAGCTGCACTCTCATCTCAGTTTGCTGCTCTAGACATTTTTGTTGTTCTATTAGCTGAGCTCGAATTTCTAGATGGAAACATAGCAGTTTGGTTAGAAATTTACTAATTTATCAGCAACCTTTCTCATACACATACTTTCATGAAGTTTATATCATACAATTTAGGAATAATCAGATCATTAGCGAGAATGTACAAATGGTTCGTGGACAGGCTACATTTGATGCTTGTTAAAGGAAACATGTTAAACCTGTAATGAAAAATAATTCATTGGTTATCAATTTTGGAGAAATTAAAAGAGTTGCAGTCAAATCAAATACATTGTTTCCACATTGCATGAGATCTTGGGAAATACTGCTTTCGGTATAAATTCTCACAGTAATGTCTGGAGGAAACAGATGATTTCATGTTAATCTTCATAATTTTACATAATGATATAACTATTTCAAAAACAATTCAAATTTTGTGGTTTTATAATTGGCACAAAGATATTGTATTTGATGTAAACTTTGGGGTCGGGGTCCAACAAATTTAAAACATAGAATATCTGCTTTATTTCTCCATCTCTAAAATATACTGCTCAAAAAAATAAAGGGAACACAAGCAGAAGACATCCGAGATCTGAATGAATGAAATAGCCTTATTAAATACTTTGTTCTTTATATACAGTAGTTTATACACTGCTCAAACAACTAAAGGGAACACAAAACTACTGCAGGTAACGAACAAAGTTACATTAACACTAACACTGATAATCAACAATGAATGCTACATAGAACAGAATACAGAATATTCCAAGATTTGTAAATTTCCTGGCATGGTTATATCATTTTATAAATGATGTATCACGTTATTTTGAATGTGCTAAGCAATTATATTTCCTTGATTGTTATGAAAAGTGGAAGCTTTTTGGTAGTGCCTTGTCTAAGATCATCATAACCTTTTCATCCTGAAATCCAGGAGGCCTTCAAGTGAATTAGCTGCTGAAGCTTTCTGAATACTATTGTAAATCTGGAAATCTCTTCCTAAAGACTTAAATATCTTGTTTGCTGAATGAAGGACAGAAAAGATCTGGCCTTAACATTTAAAAATGAGGGCCAAGGAAAATATTTTTTAGAACTGATGTTGTTGGGTCAGACCTGTTCCATTACTTGCTTGTAACATCTATAGAAAATATAACAGGGTCACTGCATTATACATTTTCTCTTAGCAGATGTGTACAAAGTAATACATCACAGAATGACACAATGTGTTATGTTAAACACTGCAAAGTGAGAGGAGATTTCATGTGGTAGCAACTCCATGTCTTAAAAACATTCAGCTTCTTTCACATTTTTTTCTAAATGCAAATGAAACACACACACACACACGCAAGGACATTGTTAGTTTTAGGAATAAATGTTAAGATTCTCTTTTCCCTTCTGATCTTAAAACTTGTTCATAATCTTCCACAAGTCATCGGTATGTATATTTTAGTAGGAAATTAACAGTATAATAATATGTAATTATGTAACACATGTTGACAACAGTAGAAATTCAGAATGTTAACAAAAATTCACCAAGCTTCCAATCTGCCTTTGAAAGAAAAGAATTTAGTTTGGCGATTTGAGGACCATGAATCAGAGTACATTCATGTAGACAAGACATCAGATCCAACAGATGCAATGTTAAGTGAAGAAATCCGGCATGATGAAAAGAATACAATCCAAAGCTCTAGAGAACTCTTATAATATCAGCTATCCTCTCTCCCCAAACAATATTTTTCTATGGAGGAAGCTGACAAGTACAGATGTAAGTCACTGAATGATGAAACATCAAGTAGTTTATATTTTATTTATGACTCATTGGACTCAGAAACAAATTCATCACTGGTCAGTCTACTTTCTTTCCTAAGCATATTGCTGATTTCTAATCTAATCTTAGCTTTCAATATTGCATGTAAGCCCGCATTCCTGTGTGTTCTGAACTGTGGGTTCCAGATTTTCTTTGGCATTCTGAATTCAGTGATGTGCCCCTTCTCTCTTAGGGTATTCTGTAAAAAATCTCCTTTAACACAAACCCTTCAGGGTGTTATCTGAGTAGCAGGTTGCTCAGCAAATGCTGGAGAAATTGTTTATTACTTGAAGTGGAGCTGGTAAGAACATTCCTAAGGGAGTATCACCATCTGTCTTGAGAGAAAAACTAAACAATAATTCTTCATATCATTTTTTTTTCTTTACTTCCACATATTCCTCAGTGCAGAATTTTAACCATCCAAGGTAAAAAAACTATTCACAGACAAAATAAAAGGCTGAATTTCAGTGGTTCTTGAAATAATGAAATCATTATTAAGATTTCTTCATTTTGATTTTGATTGTTTTTTAAATTGCTGCTAGGAAAAAATAAGGAGTTTTTCTCTATATAAACCAAATACTGAAGCACTGGCTGAATATTGAATAATTTTTATAACATTTTTTCTTTCATTTGATAAACATTATAAAACAATGAAATATATGTATGAAGGCATACAGGTAGTCCTCAACTTATAATCATTCGTCTAATCTAGTTCGGAGTTACAACAGCATTGAAAAAAGTGACTTGTGACTGTGGCAGCATCCCCATGGCCACATGGTTAAAATTGGCGACTGATGCATATTTATGATGGTTGCATGTTCCGGGATCATATGATCACCTTTTGTGACCTTCTGACCAGCGAAGTCAATGGGGAAGCCAGATTCACTTAACAACTGTGTTACTAAATTAACATCTGCAGTGATTCATTTTATAACTGTGGCAAGAAAGGTAGTGAAATGGGGCAAAACTCAAGAAATGTCCACTTAGCAACATAAATTTTGGGCTCAATTGTAGTTGTAGAACTACCTGTACGGATTAAATTCTGTCACATTCTATCACATTCAAATAAATCAACTCTATTATCTCATGGAAATGTATTAGCTGGAAAAAGAATACCAGTCAATATATTTATTTAAGGGCAAGTATTTTAATTCTAAGAGACGCTCAGTGGCTAAGATGCTGGGCTTGTCGACTGAAAGGTCAGCAGTTCAGCGGTCTGAATCCCTAATGCCACGTAATGGGGTGAGCTCCCGTTACTTGTCCCAGCTTCTGCCAACATAGCAGTTCGAAAGCACGTAAAAAATGCAAGTAGAAAAATAGGACCACCTTTGGTGGGAAGATAACAACGCTCCGTGTGCCTTTAGTGTTTAGTCATGTCGGCCACATGACCACGGAGACATCTTTGGACAGCGCTGGCTCTTCGGCTCTGAAACAGATATGAGCACGGCCCCCTAGAGTCAGGAACGACTAGCACATATGTGCAAGGGGAACCTTTACCTTTACTATTTTAATTCTATAACAGTGGTTCTCAACCTTCCTAATGCCGCGACCCTTTAATACAGTTCTTCATGTTGTGATCCCCAACCAGGGGTGGGTTCTAAATTTTTTTACTACCGGTTCTGTGGGTGTGGCTTATTTTGTGGGCATGGCTTGGAGGTCATGTGACTGGGTGGGCGTGGCTAGCTGGTCATGTGACCGGGTGGCCATGGCTATGTGTATAGGGACTACTCAGAGGGCTGAAAAAAGTCATTTCTGACAGGTCCTTGGACTTTTGACTGGTCCTCACACTTATGACCATCCTCACATTTATGCCTGTGCAGCATTCTTAACAACCATGTCACTCATTTCACAACTGCTTCTCTTCAACATGGTATAAGATAGGGCAAAAAACGTAAAATGTGAGGACAGTCGTAAATTCGAGGACTGGTCAAAAGTGCGAGGACCAGTCAAAAATAACTTTTTCAGCCCTCTGAGTAGTCCATATGCATAAAAGGATACAGCAATAGAGAGGGATGAAGGAAGGGAAGGGAAATTAGAGTAGGAGTGAGGGTAAGAGAGCGAGGAAGAGAGGAGGAGAAGGAGAAAGAAAGAGGAAGTAGGGAGAAGAAGAAGAGGGGGGGGAAGAGAAAGTAAGAAGGAAAGAAAAGAGAGAGGTGGTAGGTTTGAGGAGAAAGATTGCTGTACAATAAAAAAGATGAAAGGGAAGAAAGCCAACCCCAAACAAATATAAAGGTATTAAGATAAAGAATGAATTGTTAAACTTTAAAGAATAAAAGAGAACAAATAGGAATAAATAGCAATAATTAGAAACACACATACAAACATACAACGTATTTTCTTTGAACAGAGTATTTGGCCGGTTCACAAATTTAAACAGTTGTAGGAGGTTAGCACCCACCCCTTTCCTAGAAGAATGAAATATTTTGGGAAATATTAAAAAGGCAGAATATTATATTTCCCTGGATGAGAAATGGAGAAGCATATTTTACAGACAAAGCAGCTCCCACCTTCCTGCCCCCCACTCTTTGTTAATGGGCCAGAGGCAGAAAGTCAATCCTTTGTCAAAGGACATTTGCAACACAATAGCAACAGAAACTAACACAATGGGCCCCATCTAGCAACCGAAACTCACCACACATGACCTGGGAAGCATGTGACCTGGGAAGCACATGTGACCATCAGCCAGCAAGGCTAGCTAAGACCCCCACCCCCAGGAGTCTGACAACCAATCAGGATACTCTTTCGGGGCCCCAAGAAATGCAAAGCCAGAGAGAGCATAAAAACCCGAGGATTTACTGTATCTGCCCCTTTTCTGTTCAGGAACTCAAGCCATGTGATCCTGTCCACCATTAAACCAAGCAGTCTCCATGTTTCCAGTGTCTTTTTCCCCACTTGGAGCAGAACCCAGAAGGATATTTCTTCCAACACAGTGTTTAGTCATTTCAATTAAATTTACAATTTCTATATTTCCTTTTTGCCATATTTATTCTTCATCTATTTTTTTTAAAAACCAATATTACCCTTCATCCTCATCTCTAATCTTAATCAAATTCAATTTTTCCCTTCTATTCTATATTATACCCCTTTACATTGTCATCTATTTTTATATCCATCCTCACATTGGTTAATTATGTAATTATGTAATACAGTTGTTTAGTACAAATTCAACATTTTAATATAAATCAGTTATATAACTATCTTTTTTGTATATTAATCAATATGAAGATGAATATTCCA